AAGTAGAGCCGTAGGCTGAACAAGGAAATGAGAGGACCGTAAACGTAGAGCCGCAGGCAGAACAAGGAAACGAGAGGACAGTAAACATAGAGCCGTAGGCAGAACAAGGAAACGAGAGGACAGTAAACGTAGAGCCGTAGGCAGAACAAGGAAACGAGAGAAGGACAGTAAATGTAGTAGAGCTGTAGGTGGAACAAGGAAACAAGAGAAGGACAGTAAACGTAGTAGAGCTGTAGGCAGAACAAGGAAACGAAAGAAGGACAGTAAACGTAGTAGAGCTGTAGGCGGAAAAAGGAAACGAGAGAAGGACAGTAAACGTAGAGCCGTAGGCTGAACAAGGAAACGACAGGAGGACAGTAAACGTAGAACTGTAGGCTGAACAAGGAAACGAGAGGACAGTAAACGTAGAGCCGTAGGCAGAACAAGGAAACGAGAGAAGGACAGTAAACGTAGTAGAGCTGTAGGCGGAAAAAGGAAACGAGAGAAGGACAGTAAACGTAGAGCCGTAGGCTGAACAAGGAAACGACAGGAGGACAGTAAACGTAGAACTGTAGGCTGAACAAGGAAACGAGAGGACAGTAAACGTAGAGCCGTAGGCAGAACAAGGAAATGAGAGAAGGACAGTAGACGTAGTAGAGCTGTAGGCGGAAAAAGGAAACGAGAGAAGGACAGTAAACGTAGAGCCGTAGGCTGAACAAGGAAACGACAAGAGGACAGTAAACGTAGAACTGTAGGCTGAACAAGGAAACGAGAGGACAGTAAACGTAGAGCCGTTGGCAGAACAAGGAAACGAGAGAAGGACAGTAAACGTAGAGCCGTAGGCGGAACAAGAAACGTGAGAAGGACAGTAAACATAGTAGAGCTGTAGGCGGAACAGGGAAACGAGAGAAGGACAGTAAACGTAGAGCCGTAGGCGGAACAAGGAAACGACAGGAGGACAGTAAACGTAGAACTGTAGGCTGAACAAGGAAACGAGAGGAGGACAGTAAACGTAGAGCTGTAGGCTGAACAAGGAAACGAGAGGACAGTAAACGTAGAGCCGTAGGCTGAACAAGGAAACGAGAGGACAGTAAACGTAGAGCCGTAGGCGGAACAAGGAAACGAGAGAAGGACAGTAAACGTAGAGCCGTAGGCGGAACAAGAAACGTGAGAAGGACAGTAAACGTAGTTGAGCTGTAGACGGAACAAGGAAACGAGAGAAGGACAGTAAACGTAGAGCTGTAGGCTGAACAAGGAAATGAGAGAAGGACAGTAAACGTAGAGCCGTAGGCGGAACAAGGAAACGAGAGAAGGACAGTAAACAGAGCCGTAGGCGGAACAAGGAAACGAGAGAAGGACAGTAAACGTAAAGCCGTAGGCGGAACAAGGAAACGAGAGGAGGACAGTAAACGTAGAGCCGTAGGCGGAACAAGGAAACGAGAGAAGGACAGTAAACAGAGCCGTAGGCGGAACAAGGAAACGAGAGAAGGACAGTAAACGTAAAGCCGTAGGCGGAACAAGGAAACGAGAGAAGGACAGTAAACGTAGAGCCGTAGGCGGAACAAGGAAACGAGACGAAGGACAGTAAACGTAGTAGAGCTGTAGGCTGAACAAGGAAACGAGAGAAGGACAGTAAACTTAGTAGAGCTGTAGGCGGAACAAGGAAACGAGAGGAGGACAGTAAACGTAGAGCTGTAGTCGGAACAAGGAAATGAGAGAAGGACAGTAGACGTAGTAGAGCTGTAGGCGGAACAAGGAAACAAGAGAAGGACAGTAAACGTAGAGCTGTAGTCGGAACAAGGAAATGAGAGAAGGACAGTACACGTAGTAGAGCTGTAGGCGGAACAAGGAAACAAGAGAAGGACAGTAAACGTAGTGCCGTAGGCTGAACAAGGAAATGAGAGGAGGCCAGTAAACGTAGAGCCATAGGCTGAATAAGGAAATGAGAGAAGGACAGTAAACGTTGAGCTGTAGGTTGAACAAGGAAACGAGAGGAGGACAGTAAACGTTGAGCTGTAGGCTGCACAAGGAAACGAGAGGAGGACAGTAAACGTTGAGCTGTAGGCGGAACAAGGAAACGAGAGAAGGACAGTAACCGTAGAGCTGTAGGCACAACAAGGAAACGAGAGAAGGTAAGTAAACGTAGTAGAGCTGTAGGCAGAACAAGGAAACGAGAGAAGGACAGTAAACGTAGTAGAGCTGTAGGCTGAACAAGGAAACGAGAGGACAGTAAACGTAGTAGAGCTGTAGGCTGAACAAGGAAACGAGAGAAGGACAGTAAACGTAGTAGAGCTGTAGGCAGAACAAGGAAACGAGAGAAAGACAGTAAACGTAGAGCTGTAGGCTGAACAAGGAAACAAGAGAAGGACAAGGGGTAAACTCTGCCTGCCAAAGTGAAGCTAACGACTCAGGATGGCTTCCCAGGAGAGGAACGCGAGAAAACAGAATATTCCAGAATGATCCTTAAGGGTTAAGGTTGTGATGAGACGTTTAGAGTTGAGCGCTGACGGAGCTGTAGCTTGACCCTGACTGCTGTCATAAACCTATTAGCAGCTGAATGTGACATGTCTTACCTACAGCATCCCCAAAGCTGCTGGTGCCCCGATCAGACCTAAAGGTGTTTCTGTCCCCCCCCCCCTCAAGGCACATTACAACACAATCAATCACTCACCGATTGACACACACATTCACACCATGGTGGGGATGAGCTACGATGTAGCCACAGCTACCCTGGGGCGCACTGACAGAGGCGAGGCTGTCGAGCACTGGCGCCACCGGTCCCTCCAACCACCACCAGCAGGCAAAGGAGGTTAAGTGTCTTGCTCAAGGACACAACCACAGTGACCGACTGAGTAGGACTCAAACCTCCAACCTTCCAATTACAGGGCAAGAACTTAACTCCTGTGCTACCATTGCAATGGGACATGAGATGATAACTACCTGCACAGGTCAAACACCTGAATCAGCTGGTTTAGTCCATCCATCAATCCATTCTCCTCTGCTTATCCCGGGTCGGGTTGCAGGAGCAGCAGCCAAAGCAGAAAGGCCCAGACTTCCCTCTCCCCAGCCGAGAGACATGGTCCCTCCAGCGTGTCCTGGGTCTTTCTTTACGTCTCCTCCCAGACGGACGTGACCAGAGAACCTCACCAGGGAGGAGGCATTCTGACCAGATCCCTGAGTCACCTCAACTGGCTCTTCTCAATATGGAGGAGCAGTGGATCTACTCCGAGCCCCTCCCGGATGACCAACGTTCTCACCCTATCTCTTCGGGTCACGGGGGCAGTAGCCTAAGCAGGGAGGCCTAGACTTCCCTCTCCCCAGCCGAGACATGATCCCTCCAGCGTGTCCTGGTCTTTCTTTACGTCTCCTCCCAGACGGACATGACCAGAATACCTCACCAGGGAGGCATTCTGACCAGATGCCTGAGCCAGCTCAACTGGCTCCTCTCGATGTGGAGGAACAGCAGATCTACTCCAAGCCCCTCCCAGATGACTGTGCTTCTCACCCTATCTCTAAGGATGAGCCCAGCCACCCTGCAAAGAAAACTCATTTCATCTGCTTGTATCCGTGATCTCGTTCTTCCGGTCACTACCCAAAGCTCATGACCATAGGTGAGGGTAGGAACGTAGATCGACCGGTAGATCGGGAGATTTGTCTTCTGGCTCAGCTCTCTCTTCACCACGACAGACCGGTACAATGCCCACATCACTCCAGACGCAGCACCAGTCCTCCTGTTGATTTCATGCTCCATCTTTCTCTCACTCATGAACAAGACCCCGAGATACTTAAACTCCTCCACTTGGGGCAGGACCTCATCCCTGACCTGGAGAAGGCATTTTACCCTTTTCCGGCTCAACAGCATGGTCTTGCATTTAGGGGAGCTGATTCTCATCTCAGCTGCTTCACACTCGGCTGCGAACCGCTCCAGTAAGAGTTAGGGTTAGAGACCCGATCCTCAGACCACCAAAACAGATTCCCTCAACTCCTTGGCTGCTCCTAGAAATCCTGTCCATAAAAGTTATGAACAGAATCGGTGACAAAGGGCAGCCTTGGTGGAGTCCAACTCTCACCGGAAACAAGCTCGGTCATACAGGGACCTAACAGCCCAAATCAAAGGTCCTGGTACCCCATACTCCCCACAGGGCTCCCCAAAGGACGCGGTCAAACACCTTCTCCAAATCCACAAAACAGATGTAGATTGGTTGGGCGAACTCCCACGCACCCTCCAGGACCCCCTAAGGGTATAGAGCTGGTCCAGTGTTCTACGGCCAGGACGAACACCACATTGCTCCTCCTGAATCTGAAGTTTGACAATCCGACGGACCATCACCTCCAGAACCCTGAATAGACCTTACCAGGAAGACTCAGGAGTGTGATCCCCTGTAGTTGGAACACACTCTACATACAAGTTGTAGAGCTGGTTTAGTCGTGAAAGAAATTACTGATGGGGGTATCTTCTCTTACAGCAAAGTTTTTTATCTAACAGTTAGGAATATCAGACCTAGAACTTAGGGCTGGGCGATATGGCCTCTCAGATCTATATTGCGATATAATCTGAAGCATGTGCGGTAACGATATATATTGCGATATATTTTTTCCTCTGTTTATATATGTCAAAATGACATGCTTTTAAATATCCTCATGTGGCAAATATATGCCACTTGAGGCATATAGGCCTCCTCCTCCACCCACTCCTTGCTTGCAGTCACTGCCATTCTGTTGCCCCAATGTCAGCAGGGTGCACATCTTAAGTGACGTCATGTGTTATCGTGATATTGCGATATAGCCAAAAACTATCATGACCCAATTTTATATTGTTTCTACCTTATATCGTTTATATTGCCCACCCCTACTAGAACTTTTATTGTTTTTACACACACACACACACACACACACACACACACACACACACACACACACACACACACACACACACACACACACACACACACACACACACACACACACACACACACACACACACACACACACACACACAGGGATCAGATAAACTGCCCTACCCGACTGTGGTTCCGGTCCATCCCTCAGAACTCGGCTGATCCGATGAGTCAGCGAACTGATGAAGCCCCTGACGGAAGGTTGGTGCTGCTCTGCATCTGATTCCGCCTTCCTGAGCAGCGCCCTCTCCGGACCAGCAGAACTAGGCTCAGATAGGGACCTGAAGAACCTATGCAAGGATCTGGGTCGGTCTGGGCTTTCTGGAGGCTGGGCCAGGTTCTGGTTCTGAGGATGTGGTAGAGTCCTAGACCTCAGAAGGCCAAACAGCTGGGGAAGGACCAGGTTCTGGTCTACATCTTGAACTGTCATCTGGGTCATGGTTTCCCACTGGTACCGATCCATGGGTTTGTTAGGAACGAGCTGAGGCTCAAACATCCTCCAGGATGTTGCGCAATGGTGCCATAGGTACTGACTGGGCTGAACCGGGCCCTCACAGCCGTGTGGAATGTTTCCGGTTCTACTCATGGTCCAGAACCAACGGGATTGTTCCTGGAATCAGCAGAACCGGGCAGACAGTTGTGGCCTAACAGAGTCATTGTCTAAACCCGAACTAGATGACTCTGATCCATCGTCATGCTGTCATTTCTCAACAGACCGAGTGTCTTCCTGACAGGAAGTATGTGTCGGGCCAGCCAATCAGAGCGCAGCTCAGAGGAGCCTGTGGTTTTGTCTGAAACTGATCTCGGATCAGATCATTTGTTCCACTTCCTGGTGAGTCTCTGACAGACAGAACCAAGCCTGCAGGTCATGCGAGTCTCGTGTGGGAGCATCCAGAGTTTCTGATTCCTGCTGGAAACCAACTCCCAGTGAAGTAGTTCTGTGGCTCACATCAGAACCACACCCTCATGGGGGTTCTGGTGAATCCGACCTTCTCCATCTAAGACCAGAACCAGACAGGAGAGACACACATGACTGTCATCCAGTCAGCAGAACAAAGGTCCAAATCAGCCGAACTACAAACTCCAGTGAATCAGACCAATGAGACCGTAGTCCCGGTTCTTCTGGTCCAGTTGGACCAAAATGGGTCGGGTTATACCAGGTGACCAGGTTCCTTTGGTCCCTCTGGGCTTTAGGAAGCACTCTGCTGGCTGACCCATTTACGAGTTATAGGATGACAACACTGCTGGTGTCCTGGACCGCACCGCATGTAGGTCAGAGGCTGATCCGAGGAATCCAGAACCGGGCCAAGTTCTCCAGGAGCCTGAAAAGGCTGATCTGAGGAAGCTAGAACCAGATTCAGGGAGCTGAGAAGACCCAATTCTGGATCCAGGAAACGTCAGAATAATTTAGATCATCGTCTGTGACAGAATCTGACCAGAACCTCATTGAGTCATGACATAAAAGCACACTTTCATCCTTTATTCATGAGCCACTCAGGGGGTGGGGCTCCAGGGATCAAAATCATATTACTGATGGCATCACTGCAGCAGGTGGAGGTGCTGCTGGTCTCACAACATCTGGATCGGACAGGAGAGCAATTCTGCTGCCGTACATCTGGGTTTAAGATCACACACACACACTCAAATACACACACACACACACACACACAATTCTGCTGCTGTACATCTGGGTTTAAGATCACACACACACACAAATACACACACACACAGATACACACACGAACACACACACACATACACACACCTTCCTATCATAGTGAGGACCCTCCATTGCCTTCCATCCATGTTGGCGACTCCACCGTACCTGACCCTGACCCTGACCCTGACCCCAACCCTAACTAAAACATAATTCACAACAAACCTCTGAAACCAACTGGACCACAAACATGTCCTCACTTTGTAGGGAAAATAGTGAAAAACTTCATCAGTACCAGAACACACACACACACATACACACAAGTGTTACATGTTTTCAGGAGGAACGGGGTCCACAGGGAATCCATCACACCTGCAGCAGCACCTGGATGGTTCCCAGGTGCTGCTGCAGGTGTGATGTCCTAAAGGTCCAACATGATGGACTCCAGAGATGTGAAGAGGAGCTTTAGACCTGGTACAGATTAGCTAATCCATTTAAAAATCAAGTCCCCGTGAGACCGGTCCAGAAGAACACACAGTTCTGGATCTGACCGGGTTGCTTCCTGCTGTGGGAGCCTTCATCTGAGCCATAAGGTTCTGGCTCTGGGCGGGCTGCTACGTCAGCAGCACAGCCGCAGTCTGACCCAATGCTGGAATCTCAGTCGTTTCCTGGCTCCCATCCCAAAAACATTCCAACTCGGAATCATCAGACAGGAAATGACACAGGAGAACGGGTCGGCACCAGAACCAAGCAGGAGCAGCAGCTGAGAGGATTAAAGCTCCTCAGACTTATTGGACTGATTGGGGGGGGGGGGGGGGACTATTTTCCAGGCCTGTAAATAAATAGTTCCTGTTTTCCAAGTCGTGACTGAAGCTTTGAAAGGTTTGGGCTCATGAGGCTAAAAGCAGAACCAGAACCAGAACTTGCTGCTTCTATCTTCTTCAAGTTATAAATAACAGGAACATGTTTCTGCGTAATGTTTCCTCTTTTACTTCCTGTTTTCATCTGAGCTGATTATGTCATAGATGAGCTCACACATTCCATCTGAGCTGATGATGTCATAGATGAGCTCACACATTCCATCGGAGCTGATTATGTCATAGTTAAAACTTTTCTGAGACACAAAATCCAGAATCCTTCAGCTGGAGGTCAAGGGTTCAGATCTGCTGCTGCGGGTCTCTGATCCACTTCCTGTTGGGAGACTAGAAGACCTGTAGCAGCTTCTGACAAAAACAGACCAGCAGGGGAGGGTCCTGGACCTAGACCTGGACCAAGGGGATCAGGGGCCTGGTGGTCTACTACGGCTGGATGGACCTCCATAATTGGTCCAACTTCAGGAAAATCATCTGAAAAGAAACATAAGCTTGGACCCATCTGATCTGATCCTGTACTGAAACAGAACCGTTAGTCCAGAGAGAATCAGACAACCTCCACATCAGCTGAAGTAATCAGATTACTTCCTGTTGATAACAAGAAGTTGTCATATGGAACAACCTTTAATCAGCCTGAGGAGGAAACGGGAAGAGAACCCGAACATGTTAGAGGACCTGACTTGTCTCTGGACCTGGTTGTCTCTAGTCCAGAACACAGGTACGGTTCAGTAACCCGCTACAGCCCTGAGACTTTACAGAACCATTAACACGTTTTTCCTGGACTGGGGTCAGGAGCTCTGGACCAGACTGTAGAACCTGTGTTTTTCCACTCTGTGTCCTGAAATAGAAACCCGGTGGTTCTGGTTCGGACTTGTCCGTCGGAGGGGAAATCCTGCTGACCCCCATCCTGATAACAGCCGGCTGCTGAGGAACTTTCTATTTCCTGCCCCATCAGAACCCATTGTCCTGATGCGCACCCAGAACCGGGTCCAGCGGCAAACCAAACAGACTGTTTCTGACCATGTTTGCTGGTCTGAGACCAGAACAGAACCGGTCTGAGACCAGAACAGAACCGGCCGGAAACCAGAACAGAACGAGAAAAGGTCAAACAGAACATTATTACCCAGAAGCATCAGAACCTGGACCGGGCCAAGAGAACACAGGCACAAACAATCCACAGCCTGGCAACAGCTGAACCACAAACTACCCACAATGCAACAGGGCACTGAGGCAACACCTGGGTGTAATCCGGAGCCTGCCCACGTCTGCATTCCCAGGACAACATCCTTGTCTCGTGGCCCGCCGGCGCCAAAGCAAACAAACCAGGTCTGGGTTCTGTTTCCTGTCAACACCAGGATGACACGCCTCGTCTGTGCGGTCCAGTCCTGGTTCTGTTTAGACTCTGGGACTGCCAGGTTCTGATCTGATGAACAAACTCCAACAATGACAGCACAGGACTTTGTAATCAATCAGAACCCTCTCCTTCCAGAACTTTCAGGAAGGACCAGAAGGAAGAACCTGGAGTTCAGCATCAGAACCCGTCCGGGTTTCAGGATCACCTGAAGAACATCAGAGCTCTTAGAGACACTCCGATCCAGGCTGAGCCCCCTCAGGAAGCATCCCAACCCAACACCAGGAATCAGCAATATTCCCTGTCCCGGAAAAGGCCCACAGCAGGGAGATGGAGGCCTTTCAGACCAGTGGAAGCACAAGGGAACCCGGATAGAACCAGGAACCAGGGTTCAGCCTTGCACAGATTAAACATCTATATTTATATTTAACATGTTTATATTTACATCGTTAAGCCTCCAAAACGGACCAGAGGTAGAACTGAAGGAACCGGAGAACTTCTGGTTTTAAACAGCAACATAATCCTTCATGGCATAGATTCAACAAGCTACTGGGAACATTCCTCCGACATCTTGGTCCATGTTGACATGACAGCATCACACGGTGGCTGCACATCCATGATGAGAATCTCCCATTCCACCACATCCCATACTGGACTGAGATCTGGTGACTGTGGAGGCCATCTGAGTACAGTGAACTCATTGTTATGTTCAAGAAAGCAGTCTGAGAGGATTCCAGCGTTATGACATGGTGCGTCATCCTGCTGGCAGTTGCCATCAGAAGACGGGTACACTGTGGTCATAAAGGGATGGACATGGTCAGCAACAAAGGTCATCAATTAGTACCAAGGGACCTAAAGTGTGCCAAGAAAATGTCCCCCACACCATTACGCCTCCACCACCAGCCTGAACCGTTGGTATAAGGCAGGATGGATCCACGCTTTCATGTTGTTGACACCAAATTCTGACCCTACCATCCGAATGCATCGTCATTTCCATCAGCTCCAACCAGCCTGGACGTTCTCCTCAGACCTCCGGCACCAGCAAGGCCTTTTCGCCCCACAGAACTGCCGCTCACTGGATGTTTTCCCCTTTTCAGAGCTAGGCGTAAGCAGAATGAGAACATGGATCCATCATGCCTTGTTACCACTGTGCAGGCTGGTGGTGGTGGTGTCTTGGTGTGGGGGATGTTTTCTTGGCACACTTTAGGCCACTTGGTGCCAATTAAGCATGGTTTAAATGCTACGGGCTACCTGAGCATTGTTTCTGACCATGTCCATCCCTTCATGACCACCATGTACCCATCCTCTGATGGCTACTTCCAGCAGGATAATGCACCATGTCATAAAGCTCCACGGTCACCAGATCTCAACCCGATAGAGCCTCTTTGGGATGTGGTGGAACGGGAGCTTCGTGCCCTGGATGTGCATCCCACACATCTCCATCAACTGCAAGATGCTGTCCAATCAATATGGGCCAACGTTTCTAAAGATGCTCTCAGCACCTTGTTGGATCAACGCCACATAGAATTAAGGCAGTTCTGACGGTCAGTGGGGTCCAACACCGTATTAGTATGGTGTTCCTGATAGTCCTTTAGGTGAGTGTATTCACACACACACACACACACACACACACACACACACACACACACACACACACACACACACACACACACACACACACACACACACACACACACACACACACACACACACACACACACACACACACACACACACACGTTTAACCCATCAGGACGTTTTGTTGTTCTGAGAGATCATTTAGACGTGAGAATCGGTTCGTTTTACAGCCTCAGTAACATTCCAGGTGAAAATTATTCCGAGTACATGAAACTCCCACAATCCCTCTGCAGCTCACCCTGACTCACCTGAGGGGGGCGGAGCCTTTTTCTAGTGTTGATACAGACAAAAATATGTCCGCCCTCAGTTTCAAAATAAAATGTAGATTTCACAAGAAACCTGCAGGAGCCTGATTTATTCTGAAGGGTTCTGGACGTCTGGAGGTTCTAACCGAAATTCTGTAGGTCCAGAAGTTCTGACAGAACCAACTAGAATCCTGCTGGTGTCCCCCTGCTGATTTGTCAAGGATCCACATAGAAACTGTTCCTTCACCTGCCAGGCGGTGTGGTTCTGCCTCATCACATAAAGCTACAGCAGGAGGACGTTCCACAGCAGATGTTCTGATGGGCCTCACCGGGCCTGAGGGCTGTTTACATTGGAATAAAGTTTTTTTTTTTTTTTACCGTGTTTCCAAAAGTCCCCGTGACTAAAACATGTTTATGTTCTTAATACTACTTACTAATACTGCTAGTCATGACCTGTTGTGTTTACTAGTCATGACTGTTTATAGTTGTGAGGCAAATTATTAATGACCTGTTATGAGTCACTTGTTTATGGATTAATCCTGATGAAATCATGAAATCCAGATTAAATTGAACTAAATTATGTTTGATATAAAACCTAAAATCTGATTTGAATAGTTAAAAAATACTAATCTGACTAAATATGAATAAATCGAACCGGAGATTCGGTTCCGCCTGAATCAGCTGATCAGAACCAGAACCCAGCAGCGGTTCGGTTCTAGAAAACTTTATAAAAGTTTCTACCTCTGAAAATCGAAGCATGCGGTCCGGTTTTTCTGGGTTTAGAACCGAACAGACTATCCAGCCCAGTTGGTGTAACAGGATCTCACTAAGCCTTGCCAGGAAGCTGGCTCCGAACCGAGCCGGTCTATTTAAGGAGATCCGGTCCTGAGATCTGGACCCGGTTTGAGGGTCAGACCTGCATCCCGGAGGTTCTGGAGTCTTGACCCTGATATGTGGACGGATCGGGACTGAACTCGGGTCAGAACTGACTGAGTGCTGCTGCAGACCCACCAGTGACTTCAGTACTTGCTGACCCGCTGAAAAAAAATTTCCGAACCGGACCGGACTGAGTTCTTACCGTAAAACCGGATCCATCCCTGCTGCTGGGACACGGTGTCCACCAGGATCCGGTCCAAGGGGTCCCGGAGGTTCAGTCCGCCGTGTAGAGACTCCGAGTCGCCCAGGTCCGTGTCCATTTCCATGTCCGAACCGGGACAAACTTGTTCCGTTACAGAGTCCCTCCGGGACACTTCGTTAATTCAGGAAATGCGGGTTCGGTGACCAACAGGAACCGGTCCAGTCCCACATGGACGGTCCAGTTCGGCTGAGACCGTCCAGCTGCTCCAGCTAGCCGTTAGCTGCCGGCGGGTTCTGCCTCATTGTTTCGACTCACTCAAACCGGACTTCTAAGTTCCCACCAACCGGACCCGGGAGGAGGCAGACACACGGTGCTGTCGGTCCGCTCAAGCCAGCTCCGGAACCGAGTTTAGAGACCTCACAGCCGCTGAGAGCGGAGCCACGCGGCGGTCGGTGCGTCTCCCGCGGGCTGCTCCCCTCTGACGTTACCCGCTGCCTGGAGCTCAGCTCAGCTCTGGTCCGGGGCCACGGGGACGCGCACAGCGGGCGCGAGCTGAGCGCAGGAGCTAGGGTCTGAGGGAACGTGCACGGACGGGTTCAGAGCTTTTGAAATGCCTGTGTGTGTGTGTGTGTGTGTGTGTGTGTGTGTGTGTGTGTGTGTGTGTGTGTGTGTGTGTGTGTGTGTGTGTGTGTGTGTGTGTGTGTGTGTGTGTGTGTGTGTGTGTGTGTGTGTGTGTGTGTGTGTGTGTGTGTGTGTGTGTGTGTGTGTGTGTGTGTGTGTGTGTGTGTGTGTTTTACCTTCTAACCCTTACTGACACTTTTTCCAACATTCATTGGCACAAAACACGTTTCAAAGATAAAAGCTGTAAGTTTCTCAGATGTTTCCAAAATAAAAGGAAGATGAAACAAAATGTGATGACGTTTAACTTGTGTTTGTGGAAGTGAAGGCTTTAAGAACAGGTGAGTTTCATCTGAAGGCTGGAAAACCACCAGGTGAGTTCATTTGTGTTTCAGCCCTCTGCTGCCACCTGCTGGTGGAAATTAGCACAGCGCTGGGTAGTTTACACGAACAAAATCCTAACTGTCTCGTTAACTCTGAAAAACATCACAGATTTTAGGATTTGGACCGGTTTGTGTGTTGGTTTTTTCATCCTGTCATCAGGAGCGTCTATCGGGTTCTGAGCTGGTTTTGTTCCCCCACAAAATCTTTTTACTGTAATAAACATTTGTATTTGGTCAAATTCAACATTCAACACTCAGAAACTCAAAAGGTTGATTTGTCACATGCTCAGTCATACAAAAACAACCCTGAGCCACTCCATATACTGCAACGCCCAACACAAATGAATGTAGATGGTCTAGACTATATGTACAAAGAAAGAAAACAATCTTTTATATAGCTCACCTGTTCAGGCTTTGGTGGGACCTTCATTACCACCCTCTCTGTGTTCTGCTCTTATTCCGCCTTTCTCTGGATCCTGGGACGTAATTTTGGGGGGGGGGGACGGGTGGGACATGTCCCCCCCCCCCCCACTTTTTCAAAAGGCAGTTTTGGTCCCCTGCACTTTTTTCCGTCCGAAAACAATGTTACGCTCCATTAAATGGATTTGGTTGAGCACTAGGACCGAAACGGAAGCCGGTTTGCTATTAGACCCGCCCAAAAGCTAATCTATTGGCTCTGCTGATACTTGCTAACGTATTATTGGCTGTTGCTGCTGTCACTCAAGTTGTAAACAGTCAGAACGTGCTCACGTTGTTTTGCTAGTTTGGAGCCGCTAGGGAACACCGGTACTGAGTCACATCGTCAACTAGACGCTGTGTAATATCAGAGCTCAGCTCAGCTTCCATTACATAACATTTGAATAAGTGTCCATTTGTGAGTCTTTGGTAGTTAGGCACAGCCAGGAGGCAGCATGTCAAGAAAACGAAAAGTGGATATAAGAGACTTCTTTCAAAGTCAAAACGTAAGTTGGAACATGTGACACCCCTGCATTAAGCTCAGACTCACCTCCTCCTTCACAAACATACTCAAAACTAACTTTTACAAACTCATCTCCTCCACATAACTGACTCCTCAGACACAATTTATTCGTATTATTATAATAATTATTTTTTTATTACTATTATCATCATAATTATTATTACTAGTAGTAGTAGAAGTGTAACTTCAAAACTTTTATCATTTAACTTTATTGTAAACTTATCTATTGCAATGTATATGTTCACATTAAAAAGCTCTCAAAAATGAACAGTATCATCATCGTCAACAGATTTTTTTAAGCTTAATGTCAAAGATGTACACTTTTCATTAGATTTATCTTATTTTTTCCATTTTTTTTTTGTGTGTGTTGAAATGCAACAACTGTTTAAACACTTTTAAGGGGAAAAACATATTTAATATGTTTTTATACACTCAAATGTTAGGGTGATGATCATGTGTAAAACATTAGTTCAGCATGTCCTCTAACACAGCAAATGAACAAACGGCCAGATCTCAGGAGGACCGTTTATGTATAAATAATTTTTATACTTTTGACTAGGCCTGGGAATGTAACAAATTTTGCTGGTCTGGACGATATTTTGTCCAACAAATTCTTGATGATAAACGATATTGTCAACATTATCTAGACCAAAATAACCACTAATATAATGTTAATATATCATAATAATGCAAGTACACCCTTTAAAATGCAACAAAGAAACCTTCATTTAACATTGAAATGCCCAGAACCAGAACTTCCAAATGAATAAAAATAACAAACAAAAATTAAATAAAAAAGGAATCTCACTCCCTGTTAGAAAATGTTGCACCAAAAACAATAAAAAAAGACCCAAAACAATAAATACAATGGCCTATCCATTGTCAACAGCCAAAACTGCACTTCAATAAGGATGGAAAAATTATTGAGATGGGCACGTGACGTGCCAAGGGGTCTTTACATAACACCCCCCACCCCAAATCCGCACAAGCCTGCTGTGTCCCCCCCACTTCTGAAATCAAAATTTCGTCCCTGTCTGGATCCATGGATTTCTCCCTTTCCTGTTCATTTTCTCTCTCCTGTCCTTACGTTTTTTTACTCAAATAAAAAAAATTCTAATTTTAAACATATTTTTAATCTTACCCACTTTGACCTTGGAACCTCCAGTCCATACTCCGCACAGATGTTCCTGGACATGATGCCAAACACTAAGTTGTGGCGTTCCATGGATGCTTTCCCTGCCAGCATCTTACACCCTGCAGTTATGTGATGGACTGTCTCAGGGGTCTCTTTGATAGCCTACACCTTGGGTCTGGTCTGGTAGATCCTGGCCTCTGGTGTTCAGGGCCTGTTCCTGTGCAGCCATGATGAATGCCTCTGTGCAGTCCTTCAGACCAGCTCTTTCTAGCCATTGGTAGGATTTCTTGATATCAGCCACTTCAGTTGTTTGTCTGGTACATCCCAGGTAGGGGTTTGTCCTCCCGGCGATAGTATTTCCAGCATCTCCTCCTCTGATCGCCAGTGTTTATGTTTATTTATTAGGCAGACGCTTTTATCCAAAGCGACGTCACTCGTTAACCTATAGGGTGTGTTGTGATCTGAGGGGGAAACCGGAGAACCCAGAGGAAACCCACACATGCATGGGGAGAACATGCAACTCCAAGCAGAAAGGTCGCAGTCAATTTTCAAACCTGCAACCTTCTTGCTGCGAAGCAACAACTGCACCACCATGCAGCCCATTGGCTGAGACATTCACTGAGCACATCACCGGTTGGGGCTTTATCTTTGATGTACTTATGGATCTTTGATGTTTCATCCTGGATGGTGGCTCTCACACTCAGCAGCCCTCTGCCTACTTCCTTACGGTTAGTGTACAGTCTCAGGGTGCTGGACATGGAACCTTCATTTATGGTTAGGAGCTTCCGTGTCTTGAAATCTTTGGTCTGTATTTCTTCCTTTGGCTAGCAGGAGATCTGATTACTGGCAGGGTGTGGCTGTTTATTGCCCAGATCTTGTTTTTGCCACTGAGCTGACTTCTTAGGACTTGTCTTACTCGTTGTAGAGATTTGGCTGTGGCTCCTATTCTTGAGGCTCCATCAAGGTTGCCATTTGGTTGTGGGATACCGAGGTACTTGTGGCTGTCCTCAATGGCTGCTATCCTCTGGGAGTGAGAGCCCTTCTGTCTGGACTACCTTCCCTTTCTTTGTCACCATCCAACCACGCTTCTCAAGTCTGAATGACATTCAGGTATCTGGGCTGTAGATCCTGGTGGTGTGGATCAGTGGGGCAATGTCTCACTCACTCTTGGCATACAGCTTCATGTCATCAATGTAGAGAAGGTGGCTGATTGTTGTTCCACTCGAGTCGTTATCCATAGCCAGTCTTGTTGAGTATTTGTTTTCTCGCCCCGTCATCCGAAGTTTGCAGTTTTGAGCCTTGCTTGGTCTGTTGCTGCTGTTGCGTCCTTGGGCAAGACACGTAACCCACCTTGCCTGCTGGTGGTGTTCGGAGGGACCGGTGGCGCCTGTGTACAGCAGACTCACCTCACCAGTGTGCCTACAACCAAATGACTGCAGGGTCTACCCGAAGTACTTCAGCCGGAAGTGCTACGACCTCGCAGGATAAAACCCTCACCGGATAAAACACTAATAAAAACCTCGTCGGGTAAAAGCCTCATGGAAAAATCCAGAGATGCTCTTTCTGAGTTAATCTGGTCAGAATCAGGCGCAGGCAGGTCAGGAGTCATTCGTTTATTATGGAAATGTTACGTTAAGATTTACAAGCAGGTGAGAAGGCTCGGTTCTGGTGGGCCGAGCTGCTCCACCAAAAACTGAATCGGTATAACTTAATTACAGTTTAAACAGGAAACAGCTGCTGGCTGCACTGGGATCAGATTAAAAACCGGACAACAACACAGTGACAACAAAGAATCCGAGCCTTGTTTACACTCCAGCAGGGATAATAATCATTACTGTAACAATCAGACGTTATCATATGGGATATATTCCACCTGGAGCGGGTGGGATCCGACCCAACGGGCTGTTGGTTCTGATCCAGAATCATTTATTTACACAGAAAGGATAAAAACATTCACACAAAAATATAACATTTAACATAATTAGCACCAGTGTTTCAGATCGAGTCGTCGCTACGCAGAACGTTGCATAAATGTGACGGAGTGGGGGGGGGGGGGGGGGGGGGGGCAGAGGGAACAAGCCGACCTTCATCTCAGACATGTGAGAGACCACACGCGTGCTCAGAACAACACGCTCTCCCGCGTGATGATCCTACAGGTTCAGTCAGAGAAACCGGTCCAGAAGAACCAACAACAGGTTTCCATCACAGAGCAGCTCGACCTGCCTGGAGCTGGTTCTGAGGGGTCCAGTCCAGAAATCCAGATCCAGCAGTGGTGAGTGCTTCTGGATGACGAGTTCTGGCTTTCTGAGGGTCCGATTGTTTGTATTTTTACATGATTTTTCTTCTGTTTCAGTCCCGGGACCAGAACTCCAACTTCTGAACATCCAGGCTAAATAGGCTCCTAACTCAAGGGATGAGCCCAATGTTGGTTTGGGTCGGTACCGATGCCGGCTCTGCCATCAGATCTCTGCTTTAATTACTTGACTTGATTCTGAAGTTGATAAACTGTTTAGGGTTAAAACCCAAAGAGTCGAGCTGCTACTAAGATGGAAAACTGTCACTTCCTGTTCTGTAAGAATCACAGCTGAAAACATCCCGGTTCAGATCTACAGAACCGGTTCACCTCAAACCGGAACTTTCTGTTCCCTCTGCTCCTCGTGGGGAACCGAAGGTGGAGCGTCACCAGAATGTTTGAGCTGCAGTCAAGAGAATAAAGTTTTCATATTATTTAAACGGGTCATCAGAACATGAGCTCTGCCCCGGTTCTGAGGCAGAATGGGGACTCAGAGGAACTGGATGAGGGTTCCTGTTAGAGGAGCAGCGGCTCCTGCTGGAGGAGGAGGAAACTGCTCTGGAAAGAAGATCAGATGACGCCTGAAACTGGCTTCCTCTGTGGCTGCAGTCCTGTTGGGGCTGAAGTTCTGTCCGTGGTTCTGGTTCTGTCTGAACGGCATCTTGACGCCGCTGAGTCCGTTCAAACCCACATCAGGAAAAGGAACCAGCTGCTCTTTTCCTGTGGAGGAAAGGAATCTGAGAGCAATAAGCGTTTTGGTAAAAGTCGTCTCGTTCGCCGGAGTGTGGGGGTGGGCGGAGCTGATGGAGCAGTTGGGCGGTGCTAAGGCAGCTCCAGCGACGCTGTGTTGAAGCAGCCGTTGGGTAACGTGTTCCTAATGTCGTTGAGGTTGGCGATGTCGGCCCGGATCTCACGGATCTGCCGGTCGTAGTCGTTGATCATCTCCTCCTGAGAACGCGCCACATCGTTTAACTCCGCCAGCTTCTTGTCCAGCTCACTGTCGGCCATCTTGGCCTTGGCCCGCTTCAACGACTCTTCGATCTGGGTTAGTTTGCTCAGGTCCACCTTATCGATGTTTCCTGCAGAGAAAACAGACCAAGGTAAGTTGGAGTGAAGTTTCTCCTACAAGATAAGATAGACTTGGTGGGGTTCAAAAGTAGGTTGTCGCGATAGATAGATAGATAGACAAATGGAATTTTAAGAATCTTTTAGGATTCTGAAATCTTGTATCCTATTTTGTGTGAAGGGGTATGATTTAAATGTATGTATTTTAATGGTAAATAACTTCCAAAACGTCTGAATTGTCAAAATAGAAAGAATTCTGATAAAATTGTGATCATGATTTTGCAAAAACAAAATCGTGATATGATTTTTTTCTATATCACCCACTCCTAGCCCCAACCACCCTCCCTAGAGGCACAGGGTATTACGCTGGGGGCTGCAGCTAGCAGCCGCCAGAGCCCTGGGAGATAACAGCAAGCCCCCGGGCTGGCCGAGCTCGGAATACAGCAGCCTAGGACCCAAGGGTGACTAATCGACTTTGTTGTCGTCTCATCTGATCTGCGGCCACATGTCTTGGACACTCGAGTGAAGAGAGGGGCGGAGCTTTCACCTGACCACTACCTGGTGGTAAGTTGGCTCCGATGGTGGTGGAGGATTCCGGTTAGACCTGGCAGGCCCAAACGTATTGTGAGGGTCTGCTGGGAACGTCTGGTGGAGTCTCCTGTCAGTTTCAAGTTTCAATTCCCACCTCTGACAAAACTTCCAAAATGTTCCGGGGGAGGCGGGGGACATTGAGTCAGAGTGGGCCATGTCCTGTGCTTCCTTTGTCGAGGCAGCCGACCGGAGCTGAAGCCACAGGGTCGTCTGTGCCTGTCGTGGTGGCAATCCCTGAACTCGCTGGTGGACACCGGCGGTTAGGGATGCCGTCATGCTGAAGAAAGAGTCCCATCAGATTTTTTTGGCTTGTGGAACTCTAGAGGCAGCTGACAGGTACCAACAGGCTAAGCAGAAAGCGGCCCAGGTGGTCAAAGAGGCAAAAACACGAGTATGGGAGGAGTTCGGTGAGACCATGGAGCAAGATTTCCATTTGGTTTCGAGGAGATTCTGGTCCACCATCCGGCACCTCAGGAGGGGAAAGCAGTGCGCTACCAACAGTGTTTTTAGTGGGGATTGTATGCTGCTGACCTCTACTCGGGACGTTGCGGATCGCTGGGCAGATTAATTTGAAGACCTCCTCAATCCCACCGGCATGTCTTCCAGTGAGGAAGCAGAGTCTGGGGACTTTGGGTAGGACTCTCAAATCTCTGGTGCTGAGGTCACTGAGGAGATTAAAAAGCTCCTTGGTGGCACGGCGCAGGGGGTGGATGAGATCCAACCAGAGTTCCTTAAGGCTCTGGATGTTGTGGGGCTGTGTTGGCTGATGCGGCTCTGCAATATCGCATGGACATTGGGGTCAGTCCCACTGGAATGGCAGACTGGGATGGTGCTTCCCTTATTTAAAAAGGGGGACCGCAGGGTGTGTTCCAACTACAGGGGCATCACACTCCTGAGCCTCCCTGGTAAGGTCTATTCAGGGGTTCGGGAGAAGAGGGTCTGGCAGATTGTTGAACCTCGGACTCAGGAGGAACAATGTGGTTTTCGTCCTGGCCGTGGAACACTGGACCAGCTCTATGAGAATGAGAATCAGCTCCTCTAAATCAGAGACCATGGTCTTAAGTCGGAAAAGGGTAGAATGCCTTCTCCAGGTCAGAAACGAGGTCCTGCCTCAAGTGGAGGAGTTTAAGTATCTCTGAGTTTTGTTCACGAGTGAGGGAAAGCTGGAGCGTGAGATTGATAGGTGGATTAGTGATGCATCTGCTGTGATGCAGGCGTTGTACCGGTCTGTCGTGGTGAAGAGAGAGCTGAGCCAGAAGGCAAAGCTCTCAATTTACCGGTCGATCTATGTTCCTACCCCCACCTATGGTCAAGAGCTTTGGGTAGTGACCGAAAGAACGAGATCACGGACACAAGCGGCTGAAATGAATTTTCTCTGCAGGGTGGCTGGGCTCTCCCTTAGAGATAGGGTGAGATGTTCTGTCATCCGGGAGGGGCTCAGAGTAGACCTGCTGCTCCTCCACATCGAGGGGAGCCAGTTGAGGTGGCTCGGGCATCTGATCTGGATGCCTCCCTGGTGAGGTTTTCTGGGCACGTCCAACCAGGAGAAGGCCAAAGGGAAGACCCAGGACACGCTGGAGAGACTATGGCCTTGTTCGAGTTGAGCAGCGCCTCGACTGGAAAACAGACAAGAGCAGACCGACGCAGCAGGGGGAGTGGCTGAAAGCCGGCATTTAAGTCAAACAGATTTCCCTACATGTGTAGCTCACGGGTGACGATGGATGAAGATGCTTATAGGAAAGTGACAAAATAAAACAAATCACATTTGTCTTTATGGCCTATATAGTTGTCATCATCAACGTTACATGATTTACAGAATACATGTGACAAATTAACGTTTCACATTCTCCCACTGGATGTTTGGATCAGAATGAGAACCAATCAGATCTTAGATCAGGTGAGAGCCAGGCATTTCTCGTCATGCCCTCCGTTTTGCAGCCGGTGGAGAGCAACTGCAGTGCGTCCGCCTTGATCTCACAAGGTTATCGTTGCCTATGTAGGCGTGACGTCAGAGCAAGTCGGCGTCAAGTCGGACACAAATCTAACCGGATAGCACTACACGCCGATCACCGGTGATCTAATCTGCGCAGAACTGGCTCATCTCAAACACAGCCTATGTCTCTCGCCTGGCCAGGGAAGAATACCTTAGGATTCCCTCGGAGGAATTGGCCCAAGTGGCTGGGAAAAGGGAAGTCTGGGTCTCCCTGCTTAGGCAGGGACCCGACCCGATATATTGATTATGAACTGCTGACATTCGTGTCCCAGCTGCTGCTGTTTGAAGTTCTATTAACGTAGTTTCTTATTTTAATAATGATATTCACTACCTATTTGCAAACTGCCCCTAATAATCAAGTATTAATTGATAAATAAACAGATGTGTAATCTCTAAATATGTTGGGGGCTATGGTGTCTCTATTGGGGATCACAAATCAAAGCGGATCACCATGACATGTGGGGTCCCCCAAGGCTCAACTCTAGGACCAGTACTCTTTAATCTCTATATGCTGCCCCTGGGTCAGGTCATACTTAATAACATCTCCTATCATAGCTATGCTGATGACACCCAGATCTCCCTAGCCCTATCACCTACTGACTGTCGTCCACTGGACTCACTCTGTCAGTGCCTAGAACAAGAAAACGACTGGATGCAGTCAAACTTCCTTTAGCTTAACAAAGACAAGAGTGAAGTTATTGTCTGTGGCAACAAGAAGGATAGAATGGATGTTATTGCTCAGCTAGACTCCAGGGTAACAAAGACAACGACCCAGGTTAGAAATCTTGGTGTTATCATTGACTCAGACCTGAGCTTCTCTGGACATATTAAGGCTACAACTAAATCAGCGTTTTATCACCTTCATCAAACATCAAGAGTCAGAGGTCTCATGTCCAGACCAGACTTAGAGAAACTTATTCATGCTTTTATTTCTAGTCGGCTGGACTACTGCAATGGTCTCCTAACTGGTCTTCCCAAAAAGCTGTGAAGCAACTGCAGCTTGTTCAGAATGCTGCTGCTAGAGTCTTAACAAGAACTAAGAGAACGGAGCACATCACTCCTGTTCTTAGATCTCTACACTGGTTACCAGTAAACTACAGAATAGACTTCAAAGTGCTCCTACTAGTTTATAAATACATAAATAAATAACGCAGCACCCCATCCCCCCCTCCACTCAATCATCTGGATCCATCTGGTCTGATACGACCTCTGTCATACCATTTTATGTTTCTGTGTAAAATTAGAGGATTGTCGTCATAATGCTGTTGTGGTGAATTGATTTGCTGAACTCGCTCTGAAGGCCCAGGCACCAAACGCATGGCCCAGCCCTGAAACTCACCCAGCTGATCCATCAGGCTGGAGATGAGCGTCAGCACTGTTTTCACCTTGCTCTTGGCGTTGCGAGCGTTGTTCTCGGCCTCCTTGGCGCTGTCGGATGCCTGCAGCAAACAAAATCAGTCGTTAGCGCTGTGCCCGACTGGCTCTCCTCTGAGGTCATAGGTCATATTTGTACCATTCCAGCCATCATCATGTCATTATCAGCTTCATCTTTCTTCTTCTGCAGCTCCTGCTCAGCGGCGCTAAGCTGATCCATCATAAGGTTGACCTCTTCGTCTAGCTTGTTGGTGTCCTGCAACGCTTTCTCCGCCTCCTCCTTGGTCTTGGCCGATCTCTGTGAGGAGACACGTTAACGTTTACGATGAAAATGATGATAAAGCCAGCAGGGGGCGCCGCCCTACCTTCTGCACATTGCTGGCAATCCGCTCTGCCTCTTCCGCCTTGTTCTTGGCTTCTCGAGCATCGGCTGCAGCGTTCCCTAGCGCCTCCTCAGCTTGCTGCGTCTTCTCGTTGGCGGCCATGATGGTTTCGTTGATCTTGGGGATCTTTTTCATGGCGTCTTCTGCAGCAGTCTTGTTGTCGTTGACCCGTCTGTCGAAGTCTGTAACCAAACGGAACCAGAATCAGACACCCGAAGGTCCAGTTATTTCATTTGAAACTTAACTTGGCTTCAGCCCAGATCCGTTTCAGTTTTATTTCTGAATTTTGTCTCGATTTTCAGTAACTTGTTCTTTATTTTAACTTTGGTCGGTTCCAGATCACTTTGGGGTTTTCTTTTACTGGACCGGTACCGACTGTTCTGTGTCTTTAAAAGAACCCATTCAAATATTTCTTATCAGGTTTCAATTAAAACTAAAGAATTGTTTCCTTAAAAAGAGTAGTTCTGTGTGATTTGGGCCTGGTTCTGTTACCTCGGAGGTCGTCCAGGATGCTCTCGGCCTCCCTGAAGGTGGACTGGCCCTTCTTGGCCGCTTCCTCCGCTACCGCCTTGGCGGCGTCGGCCCGAGCCAGCAGCTGGTCTGCAGTCTGAAGAAGAAAGAGGCTCAGGTCCACTGGTTGGTTGAGTCGTGCGAGGCGGATTGGACCAGAACCTACCTGCTGCTCACTCTTGCCTTTCTCTAGCAGCTTTCGGACCTCCTGCTCTTTGGGCTTCAGGTCGTCTCGCAGGTCGTTGTACTCTTTCTCAGTCTTGTCGATCAGGTGGTCCAGGTCCGATGCCTCCATCTTGATCTTTTTGGCTTCATCCTGAAAACAAAAATGGTTGTCACTGTGGTCCAGGTTTTATGGTCCGTGTTGGTCCAGTGGTCCTGCTCACCTCCAGGCTCTTGGTGTCGAACACCGGGAGGCTGGTCAAGTTAGCGAAGACCTTCATGGCCATGTTCCCTGCCTCTTCAGCCTCAGCATGGACCTTGGTGGCCTGGCTCTCCAGCTCCTTGGCCAGGTTTTTCGCCTCATCGTACCTGAACAGGAAGTGACAGACAAGGACAAACAGTCAAAACCTGTCTTCCTAGAGCTCAGGGTGTCCCTGTCCTGGGGGGTGGGGGGTGGCAAACACAACAGAAGGAGACACAAACACACGAGAGTTCTGGTTCTGACCCAGAACACAGCTAAAGTGTCCGTACTTCCTGTTGAGTTGTTCGATCTCCTCACTGGTCCTGCTCTCTCCATCCAGCGTCTTCAGCAGCAGGTTATAGGCTTTGGTGGACGTGTCGTTGGCGTCTCTGGCAATCTTTTCGATCTGATCAGCGTCCATCTTGTGCCTGCGGGGAAAAGAGGTGATGTCATTGCTCTGGGACAGCTGACCCGGTACTGTTCAGGTCAAACGGAACAGTGTTACTTGTCGGCCAGTCGACGAGCCTCCTCGGCCAGCAGTGTCATGTTGTTGGGTTCTCCGGTTTCGCTGGGCGGGTTGATTTCCTGTAGATCAGACCGGTTCATTTACACCGCCTCCATGCTGTTAGTTACCATGACAACAGCAGACACACTCACCACTTTGCTCACAGCCTCTTTGGCCTTCTCTAGCTCCTGACGGGCTTGGTTGATCAGGCCCTCAGCATCGCGGACCCGGTCCCGAGCACGGTCCGCCTGAGCGCCGGTCTGGTCCACCGTGTTGCGGATGCTCTGCAGGCGGTTCCACTGGGTCGTCAGAGTGTTGTTGATGTTGTTCAGACGTTCCAGCAGGCTTTGGTCCAGATCTGCAGGGTCAAAACCAGACCAGAGGGTGTGTTAGCAAAAATGGGTCAACCAGAACCTCTGCAACCAGCACATTTGGATCCGGTCTTGGGTTTCAGAGCCGCCATGCCTTTGCTGGTCTGTGCCTCTTCCAACAGCTCCATGATAGCCTTCTCCGCCTCCTTCAGACGGTCCTCGAAGGCCGCGTCGGTGACCATGTCCTGACCGGAACCCAGGTTGTCGATCAGAGTCTGGAGTTCTTGGAGTTTCTGTCTCTGCTGGTTCACCTGGGCCCAAACAGAACTTTAATTCACCTGAGTTTCTGAGGGAGAGGAGACCAACAGGGCCTGGTCCTCACCTTGTCTCGGACCAGACTGTAGCAGGAGGGACACTGTTGGCAGCCCGGTACGGAGCGGTTGTAGAAGTAGTTCTCCTCACACATGTCACATCGAGCTCCAACAAACCCGGGTCGGCACTCGCAGCGTCCGTCCTCCTTACACTGACCTGACTGGGATCCTTCAGGGTCGCAGTCGCAGGCTGCAGAGGAAAGCCAAAGGTAAAAATAATCAACAACCGATTCCCTGCCTGCAGGAGTCATTCAGGTCTCGGAGCTCGAACCCTTTTCAATAAATCCATATTTATCATCATCTAATCTATCAGAAATGCAACTAAAGATGAATAAAAGCTTAGAAAGTTTGATATTTTCTGATGTTTTACTTGACTTAAAAGGATCTTAGGTTCTTTGTTCCCTTATCCATCACCTTCAGCTGAAGGTCTCCTACTTACACCTTTTCCAGAGTACAGTGGAACCCAACAGAAGCTCTAGAACCCAAAGGGCTCAACACTATTGACTATTTAAATTCCTTCAGGACCAATATGTTCTTCTCAGGAAACTGGTCAGCTTCTGATGTGTGGTTCAATGACGGAGGAGAAGCTTCAGAGCAACCGCATCTCTCACTCCTACCACGTGTGACTAGCACTTACATCTGTTCTGATTGGCCGTTTAAACAGAACCCAAAGGTTCTGATGTCAGTGGCGGTGCTGCTATTTCTGTTGTGTTACTGTTGTTACACTGGGCGACTGGTTAGAAGTTTGTCCTGTGATGGTGGGTTGCAGGTTCAATCCCAGGCTCCCACAGCAATGTCAGTTGTTATGGTGATGGATGGAGGGGTGGGTGGTGCTTGTGTACGGCAGCCTCGTCCCAGAGCAGCTGTAGCTACGATGTAGCTCATCACTTCCAATGTGTGAATGGATGAATGATTTACTGCATTATAAAGCGCTTTGGAGTCCTCTGACTCAGAATGTAGCTTTACCGGTGCGTGTCATTTATCATTTGTTGTGTTATTAATATTATTGAGTCATTCTCACGTTTGCATCCAGACAGGCTGAAGCCGAAGAAGTTGACCTCACAGCGTTCACAGTGCTGACCCGCGACACCAGGCTGGCACTCACACTGACCTGTGATGATGTCACACTGACCATTGGTAGAGCCAATCGAGTTGCAACTACACCTGAGAAGGAATCAGGGGAAAAAAATCACGGGTACGGGTTAGCAACTACTTAAAAAGAGGATTAAAATCTTTTTTACTAAGTTAATAAAAATTTCTTTTTACTTTTTCTTTTATTTACTTTTTTCAGTTTAAACATATTTTTTTTGTTAACTTAATTTTCGTTATCCAGATTTATTTTGATATTATATTTGACAATTGAAGGGGGATGGGGAGCTGCTGACGTCAACTGGAGCTATAGTCGGACGGTGGAAGGAATACTTTGAGGAGCTCCTCAATCCCACCTATGCGCATTCCCAGGAGGAAACTGAGCAGGGAGACCTGGGGATGGACTGTCCAATCTCGGGGGCAGAAGTTGCTGAGGTAGTCAAACAATTACACAGCGGCGGAGCCCCGGGGGCGGATGAGATTCATCCTGGGTATCTCAAGGCTATGGATGTTGTAGGGCTGTCATGGTTGACACGTCTCTGCAACATTGCATGGTCATCGGGGGCAGTTCCTAGGGAGTGGCAGACCGGGGTGGTGGTCCCCATCTTTAAGAAGGGTGACCTGAGGGTGTGTTTCAACTATAGGGGGATCACACTCCTCAGCCTCCCTGGAAAGGTCTACTCCAAGGTACTGGAGAGGAGGGTCCGATCGATAGTTGAATCTCAGATTGAGGAGGAGCAATGTGGTTTTCATCCTGGCTGTGGAACTGTGGACCAGCTCTATACCCTTGCAAGGGTGATGGAGGGGGCACGGGAGTTTGCCCAACCAATCCACATGTGTTTTGTGGATTTGGAGAAGGCTTATGACCGTGTCCCCAGGGGCACCCTGTGGGGGACGCTCCAGGAGTATGGGGTGGGTGGCTTTCTGTTAAGGGACATTCAGTCCCTTTACCAGAGGAGCGTGAGTTTGGTCCGTATAGCTGGTAGTAAGTCGGACCTGTTCCTGGTGAGGGTTGGACTCCGCCAGGGCTGCCCTTTGTCACCGGTTCTGTTCATTATCTTTAGGGACAGAATTTCTAAGCGCAGCCGTGGTGTGGAGTGTGGTGGCAGGAGAATCTCGTCTCTGCTTTTTGCGGATGATGTGGTCCTCCTAGCTTCATCCAGCTCTGACCTTTAGCTCTTGCTGGGTAGGTTCGCGGCCGAGTGTGAAGCGGCTGGGATGAGGATCAGCACCTCCAAATCTGAGATCATGGTTCTCGACCGGGAAAGGGTGGCTTGCCAACTTCGGGTCGGGAGAGAGGTCCTACCTCAAGTGGAGGAGTTTAAGTATCTCGGGGTCTTGTTCACATGTGAGGGTAGGAGGGATCGGGAGATTGACAGGCGGATTGGTTCAGCATCTGCAGTGATGTGGACGCTGAGCCGATCTGTTGTGGTGAAGAGGGAGATGAGCCAGAAAGCCAGGCTCTCGATTTACCGGTCGATCTACGTCCCAATCCTCACCTATGGTCATGAGCTTTGGGTAATGACCGAAAGAACGAGATCACGGATACAAGCGGCCAAAATGAGTTTCCTCCGTAGGGTGGCCGGGCTCAGCCTTAGAGATAGGGTGAGGAGCTCGGACATTCGGGAGGGACTCGGAGTAGAAACGCTGCTCCTCCGGATCGAAAAGAGTCAGTTGAGGTGGTTTGGGCATCTGGTCAGAATGCCTCCTGGACGCCTCCCTGGGGAGATGTTTCGGGCATGTCCTGCCAGCAGGAGGCCCCCGGGTCGACCCAGGACACGTTGGAGAGGTTGCATCTCCAATCTGGTCCGGGAACGCCTTGGGGTCCTGCCGGAGGAGCTGGTGGAGGAGGCCGGGGAGAGGACGGTCTGGAGCTCCCTAGTTGGGATGCTGCCCCCGCGACCCGGATAAGCGGAGGAAGACGACCATGACAATTGAATTTATTTGTATAACTGTTTATTTGAAAAAATGTATTATTGTGTTGGAATTGTAGTAATCTTTCAACTGTTCCTTTGAAGGCCTGAAAATGGAAAATAAAATATTTTCACGCGCAGCCCCATCTCTAAACCTTTAAATGAAGTGATAAAAACAAGAATGGCTGCTACGTAGATTTTTGGAGAAGCTGCAGATGAACTAACCCCTCACAGCCAATCCCACTCTGCAGGTTGAAGAATCCCAGCTGGCAGGCGCTGCAGTCACGTTTGATCACGTTAGGGAGACATTGACACTGACCGGTGACTTGAGAACAGCTGGTCTGCTGGTCCACCGTCCCCAGAGGAGAGCAGGAACAGGCTGGGGGTGGGGCAGAGACAACAGATTTATCAACAGTCTTGAGATTATTTCAGCTCTTCAACAAACATTGTGTGATGACATATTCGACTGAGGTGTTTCGCTTTTAGCCCCGCCCAGTGAAGACAAGAAGGGGCGGGGCTGGACCTGCCAAGCTGTTGGTTACTTTGTGTAAATCTAAAATTCATTTGTGATGACACAAAAATCAAACACCAAACGACTGGGTTTGGAAATGACTGAATAGAGTTTAATATGACTTATGTTGGGTTACAACCTGGATAAGCCCCCAACTTTTCTGTAATCACAAAAATATGTCAAAGATCACACAGCAGAGTTAATCCTGAGAGGAAGCAAAACCACGGAGTTTCAGTTTTCATCGATCAGACTTTACTGAAACATTTTTCATCTCGTTTGTTTAATTTATAATTGAACATTTCTATCAACAGTTAATGGTAACTAGACAATTTAATGACTTTTCTTTTTTACAATATGATAAAAAAATTATATATATATATGGCTACTGTCCTGTTTAGTGGGTTTAATAATGGCCATCATGTGAGCAACCGTAGACCAGACTCTTACCTTTACACTTGTCAGCAGGGTTTGAGGCCAGGGCATTGCCATAGAAACCCTCTTTGCAGTGGTCACAGAAAAAGCCATCAGTGTTGTAGATGCACTTCAGACACTCTCCAGTCTCCCGGTCACAGTTTCCGACAGCGTTGGGGTCGATGTTGTTGCTGCACTGGCAGGCGCGACAGGCTCGGACCGGCCCATTCTGACCCAGAGGATCCCCAAAGAACCCGTCATCACAGAGCTCACAGCGCTTACCTGCACACAGGTGAGTTCACATCATGCCTCCAACACCTGCTTAATAAATGGATCAAACCAAGAGAAGAGACCTGACTGAGGGACGGGTTCAGACAAAGGGCTGGTCCAGTCCAGTACCTGTGGTTCCAGCAGGACAGTTGGTGCACACCACCTCTCTTGTCCTGGGGACAACAGCGCATGTGGCTCCTGCAGGGCAGGGACATGACTGACAATCGTCAGGTCTGCCCTGAGTGGCGTCGCCATAGAAACCATCCTTACAGCGCTCACAGCTGAGACCGGCAGTGTTGTCCTGACAGTCACATGCTCCTGAAGTAACAGAAGGCAAACAGACAGTTTTTTTTTACTTTTTTGAAATTTTCTTTTATTTGGAAGGGCATGGTCAAATCACATCACATTTTCATTTTACAATCAACCTGAGCCAACCGCATTCGCACAAAGAGGTGTAATCCTTACGTTTGAATGGTTGTGTTCATCTGCCCCTCCCCATTTTCTTATTAAGCCCTGTTACCCAGTAGTTCAAAACATTAACAAATCACCAACCAAACCGGGGGGCGCGTCTTACAATCTCATATATATATAGGGATCTGTTCCCACCTTCAAAGTTGTACTTTTAATAGTTAGATCTGGTAGGCTTGACAGTCCACTTGGTCCAGATTTTATAAAATTGTTCTTTTTCTACTTTGAGGGATGAGGATATCTTTTCCATAACATATATCTCATGGACTATTTCAGCCCACTCTCCCACCGTGGGAGGATCTGCTTGTAACCATTTCCTTGTGACCGATTTCTTACTTGCTGCCAGTAGCATTAATAACAGTTTCTTGTCTTTCATGTTGTATGTTACACCCGACATGTTGCCCAAATACATCGTTTCACAATTAAGTGGGATTGTTACATTGAATACATTATTAATGTGTTTGTTGATCTCTGACCAGTAGGGCCTTATCACCTGACAGTCCCAGAAGATGTGAAAGTGATTTGCTCCTGTAGTTCCACAAAGTCAAACAGACAGGTTTTTGCCTGCTGGAGGTCGGCTCAGCTGAAAACATCAGCTGATCAATATTCTCCAACCAGTCAGATCCAGTAAAAGCCAGGATAGACTCAGCAAAAACTCAGTTATACCAGTAGACCCAGTCTTACTAGTAGACCCAGACTTACCAGTATCTGGGTGGCAGGTGTCGCTGTGCCCATGACAATTGCAGGACTCACAGGAGCTGAAGGCTCCAAGCTCTGGCTGCGTGCGGCGGTATCCCACAGTGCATTGCTCACAGTGTTGACCATGGTACCCCTGAGGACAGGTACATCGCTCTACCCAGTGAGCAGGAACACCTGGCCCCACCCTTGCTGTCACCAAAGAGACGCTGTCCAGGTAACCAGCACCTGCAAAAGGAACCTGGAATGAGATCTGAGAGGGAAGTCCACCTAGAGAGGGGGTGAGTTTGTGTGCAGCTGTGTGTAGTTGTGTGTAGCTGTGTACAGATTTGTGAAGTGATCACGCACATGTTCAACCTTAGCCTTAACCTGGAGAAGGTCTCCATTCTGTGGAAGACCTCCTGTGTGGTTCCAGTTCCCAAAACATCACATGCCCAAGAGCAAGACCACTACAGACCCGTCACCTTGAACTCCCATCTGATCAAGATTATGGAGAGACTCATCCTCACCCAGCTACGCTACGTGGTGAGTCCAGAGATAGATCCACTGCAATTTGCGTGTGTAGTTTTGTAGATGTGTAGCTTTGTGTAGTTGTGTGTAGCTGTGTTTAGTTGTGTAGCTGTGTGTAGTTGTGTGTAGCCGTGTGTAGCTGTGTGTAGCCGTGTGTAGCTGTGTGTAGCCGTGTGTAGCTGTGTATAGTTGTGTGTAGTTGTGTGTAGCTGTGTGTAGCTGTGTGTAGCCGTGTGTAGCTGTGTGTAGTTGTGTGTAGCTGTGTGTAGTTGTGTGTAGTTGTGTGTAGCTGTGTGTAGTTGTGTGTAGCTGTGTATAGTTGTGTGTAGTTGTGTGTAGCTGTGTGTAGTTGTGTAGCTGTGTGTAGCTGTGTGTAGCCGTGTGTAGTTGTGTGTAGCTGTGTATAGTTGTGTGTAGTTGTGTGTAGCTGTGTGTAGTTGTGTAGCTGTGTGTAGCTGTGTGTAGCCGTGTGTAGTTGTGTGTAGCTGTGTGTAGCCGTGTGTAGCTGTGTGTATTTGTGTATAGCTGTGTGCTGTTGTGTGTAGCTGTGTATAGTTGTGTGTAGTTGTGTGTAGCTGTGTGTAGTTGTGTGTAGCTGTGTGTAGATGTGTGTAGTTGTGTGTAGATGTGTGTAGTTGTGTGTAGTTGTGTGTAGTTGTGTGTAGCTGTGTATAGTTGTGTGTAGTTGTGTGTAGCTGTGTGTAGTTGTGTGTAGTTGTGTGTAGCTGTGTGTAGCTGTGTGTAGTTGTGTGTAGCTGTGTATAGTTGTGTGTAGTTGTGTGTAGCTGTGTGTAGTTGTGTAGCTGTGTGTAGCTGTGTGTAGCCGTGTGTAGTTGTGTGTAGCTGTGTGTAGCCGTGTGTAGCTGTGTGTAGTTGTGTAGCTGTGTGTAGCCGTGTGTAGCTGTGTGTATTTGTGTATAGCTGTGTGCTGTTGTGTGTAGCTGTGTATAGTTGTGTGTAGTTGTGTGTAGCTGTGTGTAGTTGTGCGTAGCTGTGTGTAGATGTGTGTAGCTGTGTGTAGTTGTGTAGCTGTGTGTGGTTGTGTGTAGCTGTGTGTAGATGTGTGTAGCTCTGTGTAGCTGTGTGTAGTTGTGTAGCTGTGTGTAGTTGTGTGTAGTTGTGTGTACTTTTGTGTAGTTGTGTAGCTTTGTGTAGCTGTGTGTAGTTGCGTGTAGTTGTGTGTAGCTGTGTGTAGTTGTGTGTAGCTGTGTGTAGTTGTGTGTAGCTGTGTGTAGTTGTGTAGCTGTGTGTGGTTGTGTGTAGCTGTGTGTAGATGTGTGTAGCTGTGTGTAGTTGTGTAGCTGTGTGTGGTTGTGTGTAGCTGTGTGTAGATGTGTGTAGCTCTGTGTAGCTGTGTGTAGTTGTGTGTAGCTGTGTGTAGTTGTGTAGCTGTGTGTAGTTGTGTAGTTGTGTGTAGTTGTGTAGTTGTGTGTAGTTGTGTGTACTTTTGTGTAGTTGTGTAGCTGTGTGTAGTTGTGTAGTTGTGTGTAGTTGTGTAGTTGCGTGTAGTTGTGTGTAGCTGTGTGTAGTTGTGTGTAGCTGTGTGTAGTTGTGTGTAGCCATGTGTAGTTGTGTGTAGCTGTGTGTAGCCGTGTGTAGCTGTGTGTATTTGTGTATAGCTGTGTGCTGTTGTGTGTAGCTGTGTATAGTTGTGTGTAGTTGTGTGTAGCTGTGTGTAGTTGTGTGTAGCTGTGTGTACATGTGTGTAGCTGTGTGTAGTTGTGTAGCTGTGTGTGGTTGTGTGTAGCTGTGTGTAGATGTGTGTAGCTCTGTGTAGCTGTGTGTAGTTGTGTGTAGCTGTGTGTAGTTGTGTAGCTGTGTGTAGTTGTGTGTACTTTTGTGTAATTGTGTAGCTTTGTGTAGCTGTGTGTAGTTGCGTGTAGTTGTGTGTAGCTGTGTGTAGTTGTGTGTAGCTGTGTGTAGTTGTGTGTAGCTCTGTGTAGCTGTGTGTACTTTTGTGTAGTTGTGTAGCTTTGTGTAGTTGTGTGTAGCTGTGTGTAGTTGTGTGTAGCTGTGTGTAGTTGTGCGTAGCTGTGTGTAGTTGTGTAGCTGTGTGTAGTTGTGTAGCTGTGTGTAGTTGTGTGTAGTTGCGTGTAGTTGTGTGTAGCTGAGTGTAGTTGTGTAGCTGTGTGTAGTTGTGTAGCTGTGTGTAGTTGGGTGTAGTTTTGTGTAGCTGTGTTTAGTTGTGTAGCTGTGTGTAGCTGTGTGTAGTTGTGTGTAGCTGTGTGTAGTTGTGTGTAGCTGTGTGTAGCCGTGTGTAGCCGTGTGTAGTTGTGTGTAGCTGTGTGTAGCTGTGTGTAGTTGTGTAGCTGTGTGTAGCCGTGTGTAGCTGTGTGTAGTTGTGTAGTTGTGTGTAGCTGTGTGTAGCTGTGTGTAGTTGTGTGTAGCCGTGTGTAGTTGTGTGTAGCTGTGTGTAGCCGTGTGTAGTTGTGTGTAGCTGTGTGTAGCTGTGTGTAGTTGCGTAGCTGTGTGTAGCCGTGTGTAGTTGTGTGTAGCTGTGTGTAGTTGTGTGTAGCTGTGTGTAGCTGTGTGTAGCCGTGTGTAGCCGTGTGTAGTTGTGTGTAGCTGTGTGTAGTTGTGTAGTTGTGTGTAGCTGTGTGTAGTTATGTGTAGCTGTGTGTAGTTGTGTGTAGAAGTGTGTCTTCAGGCTGTGTGTAGCTGTGTGTAGTTGTGTGTAGCTGTGTGTAGTTGTGTAGTTGTGTAGCTGTGTGTAGTTGTGTGTAGTTGTGAGTAGTTGTGTGTAGTTGTGTGTAGCTGTGTGTAGTTGTGTGTAGCTGTGTGTAGTTGTGTGTAGAAGTGTGTCTTCAGGCTTTGTGTAGCTGTGTGTAGTTGTGTGTAGCTGTGTGTAGTTGTGTAGCTGTGTGTAGTTGTGTGTAGTTGTGTAGCTGTGAGTAGTTGTGTGTAGCTGTGAGTAGTTGTGTGTAGCTGTGAGTAGTTGTGTGTAGCTGTGTGTAGTTGTGTGTAGCTGTGTGTAGCTGTGTGTAGTTGTGTGTAGCTGTGTGTAGTTGTGTGTAGTTGTGTGTAGTTGTGTGTAGCTGTGAGTAGTTGTGTGTAGCTGTGTGTAGTTGTGTGTAGTTGTGTGTAGTTGTGTGTAGCTGTGTGTAGTTGTGTGTAGCTGTGAGTAGTTGTGTGTGGCTGTGAGTAGTTGTGTGTAGCTGTGTGTAGTTGTGTGTAGTTGTGTGTAGTTGTGTGTAGCTGTGTGTAGTTGTGTGTAGCTGTGAGTAGTTGTGTGTAGCTGTGAGTAGTTGTGTGTAGCTGGGTGTAGCTGTGTGTAGTTGTGTAGCTGTGTGTAGTTGTGTGTAGCTGTGAGTAGTTGTGTGTAGCTGTGTGTAGTTGTGTAGCTGTGTGTAGTTGTGTGTAGCTGTGAGTAGTTGTGTGCAGCTGTGTGTAGTTGTGTGTAGTTGTGTGTAGCTGTGTGTAGTTGTGTGTAGCTGTGTGTAGTTGTGTAGCTGTGTGTAGTTGTGTGTAGTTGTGTGTAGTTGTGTGTAGTTGTGTGTAGCTGTGTGTAGCTGTGTGTAGTTGTGTGTAGTTGTGTGTAGTTGTGTGTAGTTGTGTGCATACTCCTCTCGCTGTAGGTTCCGCGGATCTTGATGGACGTCAGGTTGTGGAGAAGCCTCTGGAAGTCCAGGTGACTGATCCGGGGCTTCCAGGGGTAATCTGGGGTGTCATGCAGCCTAGACCAGAAGCAGATCATTACCAAACAAAGGTCCAATCTGATTCAGATCACCAGTCTGAACCAGCATGAACACTTTATTTAATTCATTTGAAATAAAGAAAATGAAGGAACAGATTTCAGGGATGAATAATTAAATACATCCATCTGTTGTATTGGATCCAGATTAGATTACAGGAAAACTTGCAGAAACACACCCTCACCTGAACACAAATGGCTGCTTGTTGTCATTGGGGTAGCCATTCCCCTGGGCGATGAGGGGGAGTGACACCCGAAGGCCCGCCCCCTCGAGCATTAGGTCCTCGGCCGACAGCCGAACATCTCGACGTTCCACTCGGAAGTGGAAAGTCAGATTCTGTCCGTAACTCAGCATCTGGTTCCCCAGAAACTTGTCTGTGGTACAGAGAACCCACCGGGTCGGTGTCGACTCAAGCAAATAAACACAAACATCAGTGCAGCAGTGTGTGTACCTGGAGCAACAAAGTACATGGGGAAGTAGTCATCAGAAGTGAGGGACACTTCCTGTCCAGTGGAGGACCAGTAGACGGGGACACTAGACCCATCCCTTCGCTGCCCGCTCCACTTCTCGTCACCTGAAAGAAAAAGTTCTGGTTCAGTTCTCAGGACTCGGAGCTGTGGGTTATCTCTGCCCTGAGCGTAGCCTGCAGGCGGCATTGCCTCGGTCAAAGGTGGAGCTGATGGCGTGGACGCTGTAGCCAACGGCGCTTTCGCAGACAGATGAGTGCTGGAAGCAGAAGCAGGGCAGGCAGCCCTGAGGGTTGTTTGGGTCCAAGTTGAAGAAGCCTAGTTTACACCTGATGGACAGAAACAAGAAAACGTTTAGTGGGCTCAGAGCTCCTCGTGTGGCTGAAGGTCATCGGGAGGTTTTTACCGATCACAGCTGAAGCCCTCTACGTTGTCCTTACAGCGACACTGACCCGTGTTCACGTCACACTCCTGAGTGCTGCCTGAAGGGGAGCAGGAGCACGGCCTGGCAGACAAAACAGAGGGATTGATCACACCAGGGTATGGTGTGGGGCCAACAGGAGAAGTCTATCCCACAGGTTATTCCCAGAGTCGTCGCTGTGCAGGATCACGTCTAGTGAGAAAATGGATCCTGCTCCTATTTTACACTCAGCTCATCTCCGGGATTACACGTTGGAATGATATATCACCCACCAAAGTATGACTCGGACCTTTTTAAGGACTTCTCAGATCTAGTGATGGACAGCTTGTTAAAATATGATCATGACACTCATTATTCGACCATCATTGCAGGTGTGTAAGCGTCGCCTGAAGACACACTTCTGCAGCATGGCGTTTATGTGATGGATTTTATCTTAACAGCTTGTGATATGACCTTTTTATCTGTGTTTTAATGCTGTTTTATTTAATTGCTCCTTTGTAAACGGTAAATGGCCTGTATTTGATGTAGCACCTTCTAGAGTCCGGGAACCCACCAAAGCATTTTACAACACAGTCGGTCATTCACCCATTCACACACACAATCGCTCACTGGTGGGGATGAGCAACTTATTAGTCACAGCTGCCCTGGGGCGCACTGACAGGCTCTCCTGCAAGCCTAGTGGAATGTGCTATATAAATAAAATTTGATTGATTGATTTTATTTAGTGGCTATTAGCTCCTCCCACATGACACAGGTGTGTTTCAGGAATGTTGCATCAGAACAACCGTTACTTAATGTTATTAAACCACTTAAACATTCTCCCTCTCCTGAAGACATTTTACTTTCTTTGACATTGAATGTGCTACTACTAGTTTACCCGTTTAATTATATATTCACTAGGACAAATACGTGTGTGTGTGTGTGTGTGTGTGTGTGTGTGTGTGTGTGTGTGTGTGTGTGTGTGTGTGTGTGTGTGTGTGTGTGTGTGTGTGTTTGTGTGTCTGCTCTGTCTTCTCCATCCCCAGTGAGTCGTGGTGTGGATGGCTGCTTATAGTGAGCCAGGATCCTCTGGAGGTTTGGTTTCAGTTTTCCTCTCCACTGTCGCTGCATGCTTGCTTAGTATGAGGATTGCTGTAAAGACTCTGACACTAGTCAGTGACTCGATGCAACCTGCTGGGTTCCTTATACAGGAAACTTTTTACTGACTGGCTTAATGACCTGACCTGTGTTGGAATGTTTACTGTGTGAAGGTCCTTGAGACGACTCTGGTCCTGATTTGGTGCTTTATAAATAAACTTGAATTGAATTGAATCAAAAGGTTTAAAATTCTGACATGAAATTAGAAAATAAATAAATAACTCACACATGGTTCTGTCTCACCTCTGTGTGGTCCTGTCTCACCTCTGTGTGGTCCTGTCTCACCTCTGTGTGGTCCTGTCTCACCTCTGTGTGGTTCTGTCTCACCTCTGTGTGGTCCTGTCTCACCTCTGTGTGGTTCTGTCTCATCTCTGTGTGGTCCTGTCTCAACTCTGTGTGGTTCTGTCTCACCTCTGTGTGGTCCTGTCTCACCTCTGTGTGGTTCTGTCTCACCTCTGTGTGGTCCTGTCTCACCTCTGTGTGGTTCTGTCTCACCTCTGTGTGGTTCTGTCTCACCTCTGTGTGGTCCTGTCTCACCTCTGTGTGGTTCTGTCTCACCTCTGTGTGGTTCTGTCTCACCTCTGTGTGGTCCTGTCTCACCTCTGTGTGGTTCTGTCTCATCTCTGTGTGGTCCTGTCTCACCTCTGTGTGGTCCTGTCTCACCTCTGTGTGGTTCTGTCTCACCTCTGTGTGGTTCTGTCTCACCTCTGTGTGGTTCTGTCTCACCTCTGTGTGGTCCTGTCTCACCTCTGTGTGGTTCTGTCTCACCTCTGTGTGGTCCTGTCTCACCTCTGTGTGGTTCTGTCTCACCTCTGTGTGGTTCTGTCTCACCTCTGTGTGGTCCTGTCTCACCTCTGTGTGGTTCTGTCTCATCTCTGTGTGGTCCTGTCTCAACTCTGTGTGGTTCTGTTAGATGTTCTAAACTAGAGGTGCCCAATCCTGGTCCTGGAGGGCATGTTTTGTGGTTTTGCTGCTCCAACATACTTAATTCAGTGATTGAATCACCTGTGCAGCAGCTCATCGGGGCCTGCAGAAGCCTGTTAATAACCTGCTGATTGAAATCAGGTGTGTTGAAGAAGAGTTAGAACTAAAACCTGCTGGATACCGGCCCTCCAGGACCAGGATTGGACACCCCTGTTCTAAACACAGTATTAAAGAAACAAGACAGAATATAGCCAGCAGGGGGCGCTCTGGATCCAACAGAAGGGTTGGACTCATGCTGACGGTAAAACCAAACAACACCATGTTTGGGTTTGGGGGTTCTGGTCCCAGCAGATGCCAGGTGGTCCCAGGTGTGATGTGTACCTGCAGCCAGCCTCAGTCAGACTGTGGAACCCCGGCTGGCAGCGGTCACACTTCTCTCCAGTCACTCCTGGTTTACAAGCACACACTCCTCTGTCGTCGCACTGCGGAGACTCAGAACCTGCAAACACACAAACGGGCCGGGTTAGGGTCAGAAACGTGTCCCAGTAGCCAGGCCAGGAGGTGTTGTACTCACCAACGGTGCTGCAGCTGCAGGGCAAACAGCGGCTGCCGCTCGTGTCTCTGTAGTAGTGATCCAGGCAGCGCTCACAGTTGGGCCCATCCGTGTTGTCGGCGCAGCTCCTGCAGTGACCTCCGTGACCCGTGGCCCGGTAAAGCTCTGCGTCAAAGTAGCACTCAGAGCTCTTCCCATTGCAGTTGCAGGCTGACACACAAACAGATCCACGTTAAGTTTAGAAAAGAACAACAGGCGTGGTTCTGAGGTACTGAACAAGGTAAACATCTGGCGCCAACGCTAACAAGTGGTTGTTCCCATCCTGTTCTTCCAGCTTCCTGTAACATTCCCAAGACAATAAAAATGGTTCCGTCACACATCTGCTATGAGAAGTTCAGGCACTAACTACAACTCCCACAATCCCTCAGGGCCCCCGGCCTGAGAACAGGGTCTTTATGAGCCTCTGTGTTAGATTTATGGGTTTTATGTGTTTATTGTTAGTAAATCCTGTTCTGAAGTGTTTCATAGGGTCTCTGTTAAAGTAAAACATGTTTGAGCAGCAGAATGATGCGTTCAGGGCCTGTTGGACAGCAGAAGACTTACGCAGACATTCATTGGCGTGGTCAGCTGTAGCTCTTCTCCAGGGCCGGTCGTTGTAGAAGGGTTTGCAGACATTACAGTCAGCGCCCTCCGTGTTGTGTTTACAGTCACACACCAGTCTTCCACTGTTCCTCACACACTCGCTGGCGTGGCCGTTGCACTTACACCTGACAATAGACACACACACCCATTACACCTGAATGAGACACAAATCAGCATCTGACTAACAACCTGGAGAGGAAATGAGTGTTTACTCTCAGATTAAACTAACTCTTTCTGAGGACTAAGGAATGCTTTGATGTTTTTGATTGGGCCCATTTTTGTCTTCATATTTGTTTACATGTTTTTATACGTTTGTGCTTTTCATAAGTATGTTGTTCCAGTTTGCCAGTTCTTTTCCTGTTTTTTTGTTTTTCTTTCATCTTGTTGAGGTTTTTCTGCTCCTCGACTCTGACTGAAGAGGTTTGATCCTCCTCAGGTGGAGAAATCCTCTGTACAGGTCCAAACTCGCTCAGCAGCAGCTTTTGTTTCAGGTGGAAAAACCGACATCAGAGAGGAAAAGAGAGCTTTGAGGCTCATCCTGAACTCAACCATAATAAAAGTAAATTAAAACATACCTGGATCTCAAAGCTTTGCTTAAAGATTAAAAAAAAAGTTTATGGTTCAAATGTTATGATCTAAGGATGGAAAATAAAGTACATGAGTTTTTATCAGTTGAGCTCAGAAGACATAAACCCATAAACCTCGTCACAAAAGACAAAGATGGATTTTTCATTTCCTAATCTAGTTTCAACTGAACATGAAGTTAATGGCAGAATAAAAAACATGAAGCAGCTGGCAAATATTTCACTATAATAATGGAAAAACTTTGGAAGAAATAAATGTACCCCGAGGGTACTAAAAGCTAGTGGCTTAAAGATAGCAGCTGGAAACTTAGCAGCTAGGAACTAGAGTCCAGAAGCTAAAAGCTAGGAGCTAGATGCCAGAAGCTAAAAGCATGAAGCCAGAGGCCAGAAGCTAAAAGCTGGGAGCTAGAGGCCAGAAGCTAAAAGCTAGGCACTAGAGGCCAGTAGCTAAAAGCTAGGAGCTAGAGGCCATAAGCTAAAGGCTAGGAGCTAGATGCCATAAGCTAAATGCTAGGAGCTTGAGGCCAGAAGCTAAAAGCTTGGAGCTAGAGGATTTAAAATAAAAGCTAGGAGCTAGAGGCTTTAAACTAACAGCTAGGAGCTATAGGCCAAAAGCTAAAAGCTAGGAGCTAGAGGCCAGAAGCTAAAAGCTAGGTGCTAGAGACCAGAAGCTAAAAGGTAGGAGCTAGAAACCAGAAACTAAAAGCTAGGAGCTAGAGGATAAACACTAAAAGCTAAAGGCTAGAAGCGAAGATAGGATGGGGAGCCTGTCTCCTCAATTTTCGGTTGGCTCATGGGTACCCGGAAGAATGAAAAAATGAATGCAAATCAAGATAGTAGATTTATCAACTAGTAAAAATTCGTAATTAGCATGACTATAAACTAGAAATCAGCACGTCGCCACATAATCTCCTCTCCCCTAGCGTAGCTGCTGCTCACCACATGACCAGATTTATGGTGGTTCTTTCCTCCTGTGGGAAGTTTGATGAACTTACAACCCTTTTCCCTCAGTTTTCTCCATGTCTGGTTCAATGACGTCACTTTGGTGAAGCGCATTTGTAGTCCTGGACTTATTTTCACACTAAACCTAAAATGTCGTTCCCCCATTAGAAAATAAGCACTTTCTTGGTATCAAAATGTGTCTTTAAAATTCACAGACATCATATGTGAAATCCATGGCACATAACAAGCGGGATTAGAAAATAGCATTTTTAGCCCCGTTGACTGGCATTCATGTTTTGTTCTTCTGGGAACCCGAAGTAGGTGGGCGTGACTTAGGCTCCCTATTGAGGCTAGAAGCTTGACTTTAATTTTATTTTTAACAGTTTTGCTTTAACTGGCTGCAGTGACCTTTGAATTTAATGATGACCTTGAAAAGATGTTCTGTTTACCAGCTGGGATCTTATTATTGTATTTGACAGACCGAACACATCAAGACTATTTCCTAAACCAAAGAAAAATTCAACACTAATGTTTTAAATGAATCCATCCATCCCGCTGTCAAATCTGACTTCTATAGGTGCCTAAGTCATTCCCATCTACTTCTGGTCTATGGATCCCCTACTGCCCAAAACATGAATGCGAGTCAATGGGGTGATAAAAGTTATTTTCCGATCCCGTTTGATATGCGTCATGGATTTAACATATGATGTCCGTGAATTTTAAGAACATTTTGATGCTAAGAAGGCACTGATTTTCAACAGGCATCAAAAGTTATTGTAGGCTATGTGTGAAAAGACATAGTGGACTACAAATGTTTGTCTCACCATATTGACGTCCTCAAACCAAGAGGAGGTAAACATGAAGAGGAGGAGAAGAAAATGTCTGAAATTAGCGAGCTTCATGTACATTTTCAAGGACGACAGAAGAAGCATTAAAGGTGGAGAAAGCCACCATAAATCTGGTCATGTGGTTAGTAGCTGCTACGCCAGGGGAGAGGAGGTTCTGCTGTGATGTCATATATGACACATCTGATCTGTAGTTGTTTATTACCAATTTTTACAAGCTAATAAATCTCAGGTTAGCTAATAAATCACAGATTATGTGACCGACAGTTGAAACTCACAACACAGTGACTTATCATTTACATTGTAGAAGTACTAGGTCCCTGAAGTCCAGTGATCAAATCCTACTGGTTGTGCAGCACCAGGCTAAAGGTCAAAGGTGACAGATCATCGGCTGCTGTGGCCCCCAGACTCTGGACCTCTGTCCCCCTGAGCCTGAGATCAGAGGACTCCTTTAAACTCACCTGTTCAGGCTTTGGTGGGACCTTCATCACCGCCCACTCCTGGTTCTGCTCTTATTCCGCCTTTCCTGGGATCCCACATCTTTACTTTTCCTTTCCTCTCTCCCTTTCCTTAAATTTTTAATCACAATCTTTTTTCTCATTTCAAAGATATTTTTAAATAATTTTTAAAATTATTTTTTATGTCTGGATTTTTTTGCTTTTGTGAAGCGTCTTGTGATTTTTATCTTCAGAGGCGCTAAAAGATTGTGTTCTTTCTTTTCTTTTGAGGCAGAGCAGATTAGAATATAATCCCGCTCAGGGACCCATGGGCCAACTAGAAGGCACCCTGTTTATCTCTCCAGCAGTCACATGACTAGTGAACTGATAAATCAGGGCGGCACTCTAACTCAGAGGCCTCCCCTTCCACCAGCTGGGGCCTCTCATTTCGTCTTCCATTCATCATGAGAATCAACCCGCTCCGTTCTGGTCTCCTTGTAATCCAGCCCTGCCAGCCAGGAATGTCAGGAATGCTGGCTGACTGCGTAAAGGAAGTCTGCTCCGTATTTCAGACAGAGCTGTGCAGGAACCAAATCTATCTCCCCCCCCCCCCCCCCCCCCCCCCCCCCCCACCACCACCACCACCACCAGGACCAGACCAGGACCCACAACCCCAGACCTTTACCTTCCTCCCACAGCGAAGTCAGAGATGGCGTAGTAGTAGGACTTCAGGACCTTGGGGTCGTTAAAGACCTCGTCTCCGAAGGTGTTGAGTCGGTTCAGCGTCACTCTGATGTCCGTGGCTGTCACCCAGTCCTGAAAGCAGACCACATCGGACCTGGTTAGAGACCTGAAACCATACCTAGTTTATCTAAAGCAGGGGTATTCAATTCCGGGTCTCAAGGGTCGGTATCCAGCACGTTTTAGTGGTTTCTCTGCTCCAACACACTGGACTCAGTGGCTGCATCGCCTCCTCAGGCTCGGCTGAAGCCTGTTCATCACCTGCTGATGAAAATCAGGTGTGTTGAAGCAGAGTTAAAACTAAAGCATGCTGGGTACCGGCCCTCCAGGCCCGGAATTGAATATTTGATCTAAAGAGACAAATCGGAGAACCCTCCCCTCAGGAAAACCTGTCAGAGATGCATCATGGGAAAAACCTGAGCTGGACAAAATTCGGTTGAATCTAAATATTCAGTCGGATCATTCAGCGCAACAACGGCAGGCGTGACAAAGGTCATGGTCCTCGGAATGGATTAGGAAGGTCCTCCAGGAGCCGTCGTCTCCGTGTTGAGACTGGATCCTGGAACCTTGACTTTAATCCTGGTTTAGAGTCTGGAAACGGGAATTTAATGACTTGTCAGACATTTAAGAAACTTTTGTTTTTCAACATTTTAGATGTTTGGGAACAAATTTCCCAGCTGCAGCTTTCCGAGGCTAAAACACTCCGTGACAGGAAAACAAATGTCTCGTTGGAATCTAAGAGCTCTAGCAGAACCCGAGATCCGGTACCAAAGCTGGGTCTGTGTCCAGATCGTGGATCTGGCCTGAATTAAAGAATAATGATCAAACATCCAGATAAACATCAGAACCTGCAGCTGATGTGACCCACTGGGAATGTGGACCCGTAACTCCTGTTTCCAGCAGGAAGAGGACTTGTCCTCATTTGACATTCCGACGTTCCTCACAATGCTCCGGTGTACCAGAACCGGAGAATTTAGACTAAATTAAAACCACAGAAACAAAAAAATAACCTTTAGAGAAATCCGACCCCTGGGGCAGAACTGGGTCGGGCCACCAATGAGTCTGGTCTAAGTAACATCTGATGATGGGACGGGGTTTTTCCAGCTGTAGGTGGGACGTGGTCCGGCTGATGATGGTTCCAGTTTATCTGCAACTTCAACTCATCAAGAATCGCTCGGAGGGAGCCAGCAGCTGCTGCTCCGCTGGTCCAAGACTCTCCCACGGTCCTGAATCAGTTCTACAGAACATTTGTTTTCCATCCATCAGGAGGAGCTCTGGGGCGGACAGGAACGCCGCCGCCCTGACGCGGGACGTCAGAAGAACCGGCACCTGAAGGCCACAGTTGTTTGTTCAACTCCTAACCTCCTTTATTCGGTCTTTAATGGGTCAGAACTCCATGTGTCATCTGAGCCTGCTGAGTCCAAAACCAGGAGAGGAGGCGGAGTCTCAGAAGTTCCATCGGAGTTTTATTTGAATCAAAACAGCAAATAAAAACTCATATGGATCAGAACCAGTGTTCGGGTTGATAGAACCATTCATGTCAGATCCGGGCTGGATAGAACCAATCACTATCAATCAGGTGTAAAATAAAAGCATCGCGTTAATCATGCGGGGCGCACCAGAATCGTCGTTCATGTTGACGTCTAATGTGTAATTCTGATCTCATTTTAAGGAGATTGTAGTCACCAGTTTACGTTGGGTGTGTGTGTGTGTGTGGGGGGGGGGGGGGGGGGGGGGCATCATTCCATCAGCAAAGATACGATTTCTTGTCTGAAAACCTACCAGGTGGCATAAATCAGCTGATAATAAAAACAACACTGAACTGTACTGAAGTGGCGATGATTTCTTTTAGAAACATTTCTCCTCATATTTAGACCCAATCCCAAAACCTGCTCTTCCACCATCGTGCCCTTCAAGCTGTGCGTTCTCAGCCTGGGGCGCGAGTGTGTAGGGTTGTCCCGATTTTCAAGAGCGGAAAGTGACCACGCCCCTTTGCACCCTTGAGCCGCACTTTGCCGAAGGGTAATCCATTGCTGCATGGGAATTTTGAGAAGAAGGTGGCGCAAAGGCTCAAGTAAAATTTCAATTTTCTAATGAAAGACGTTCATTTTAGGATGATTAATGATATTTATTCATGCTCTGAATGTTTTTGACTTAATGTAGACAGCAATGAACGTGAAATTAGTCAAATAATTGTTTGTAATTTGCGATTAAAGATTTTTTTTAAGTAGCACAAACGGCGACCAGCATCCCAGCATGCAATGTGGTCTATCTCCCAAATGGACACTTGTGTGCTCCACACTCGAAGCCTTTCTGCGCTCCTCCTCCAGAATGGCGCAGGGCAAGTTTTGGGATTGGGCCTGCGACCAAACTCAGAAGTCAGCTGATTCAAAAAGGCGTCACAGTTAACGAACGTTAGCTAGCGTTGAAACCTCACTGACTGTGTTACAGATATGTAGTGAAGATCAGACACGTTTTATAAAGTGGATTAAATAACTCAGATTATCTGAGATTAAAAATCAGATGAATGACGGGACATAATCTGGCAAATTACAAAAACAGGAAGTGACAAAAAAGGAAGTACCAGAATTCAATTCAAGTTCATTTACAAAGCACCGAGTCACGACCAGAGTCGTCTCAAGGACCGGCACACAGTAAACAATACAGGTCAGGTCATTAAGCCAATCGGCAACAAGTTTCCTATGTAAGGAACCCAGCAGGTTGCATCGAGTCACTGACTAGTGTCAGTGACTTTACAGCAATCCTCATACTAAGCAAGCATGCAGCGACAGTGGAGAGGAAAACTCCCTTTTAACAGGAAGAAACCTCCAGAGGATCCTGGCTCAGTATAAGCAGCCATCCTCCACGACTCACTGGGGATGGAGAAGACAGAGCACACACACACACACACACACACACACACACACACACGCACACACGCACGCACGCACACACACACACCAAGTAGTGTTTCTATGGTTACACTGTGATTTCTTAGTAAATATTCTGTTTGGTGAGAGTTAAACTTTATTGTATTTATCTTAGAACCAGGAATCGTCAGAACCAGGAATAACTATAAGAATTGATGTTAATCAGCTGATTGAACAAAGAAGAAAACAGAAGCTTGGAGCTTTTTAAGGTTTCGCTCCAGGCCAGCTGTCTGTTCAGGTCGACACTCCAGTTTACAGAAACACTCAAACGCCTCATCTGCAGGACGAATGGATGAATCATCTCAGCTGTTTCTGGTGCTCACCGCAACAGCTGCAGGAAGTGTTTCAGAATAAAAACCTCTGTGTGTTTAGAGTGTGGGAGACTACCCTCCACCCCCACCCAGGTCAGAAAGTCTAGATTCATCACTACGTCACACCCAACAGAACGTTTACAGAACCTGGTCTGTTATGGTTCCTGGACCTAGCGGTTATTTCCCGCTCCGGGCTCAGAGGTGGAATGTCAACGAGCGACCCAGCGACCGACAGACCGCCGCCTCCAAAAAGAGTTCTGGTATAAATAGCTTTGTGCCGACAGGTCAAATAAGGAAGTTTAAAGTGGAGCTGCAGAGCTAAATCTGTTCATTTACACCGGGTCGGGTCGGTACCACCTCCCACAGCCGGGCCGGCTCAGATAAACCCAATACCTGTCAGACTGAAATGTCAGTTCTTAATAAAGTTAACAGTTTCTGCTGCCGAGACCAGAAAGCAGAACTAAACATGGACTCAACAGCAGAGGCGCTGGGCCAGGTCGGTTCTGTTGTTCTGAGGATCCAACCCCCCCACCAGGGTCAGCTGACAGGAATCAGAACTGGGCCGGTCCAAAACAAACAGAGCAGCAGGCGTGTGTTAGGGTCAAAGGTCATTTAGACTGCAGACGGAAAGATGTTTCAGACTGGGATGTCCTGGCAAGGTCAAATTGGGGTCAAAGGTCAAATCAGATAGACGATCCCAGATGCAGATCCCAGACCCAGATCTGGGTCCAGATCCCTGATTCAGATCTGGGTCCAGATCCCTGATCCAGATCTGGGTCCAGGTCCCTGATCCAGATCCAGACCCCTGATCGAGATCTGGGTCCAGGTCCCTGACAAACAATAACTGGGATCAGACTCGGGTCTGAGGTGAATGCTATTTTGTATTCCAAAAGGGTTCAGATGAAGGCAGCTGGACTTCTTTGGTTCTTGAAGATGTTTAACTTCTCATCCGAGGAGCCTTGTCAGTTCTAACTGGAATATGGGAGAGTCCAGCTTATAATCTGTAGCTGTCTGTTGTTGTTTAACGAGCAGAAACTACTCTGAATACCCCTCCTCTCCATCCCCTGATGAGTGGTTGTGTTGATGAGATGCAGGAAGGTGTGACCTAGACTGAAACTTAGGAATGAGATCCAAAGCTGCATTATAGGTACTGGAAAGGTTAAATCTAAGCCCCGCCCCTATTTAAAGTGGGGTTTTCCACATTTGACATAGATAGCTTATTTTACTCCTCTCTCACATCATCTATCTTCTCTGTCCAGAATGTGGACTTTGTCATTTTCAAAATTTGAAGTTGACAATGTACTCAAGGTAGTTTCTGCTCGTTAAACAACAACAGACAGCTACAGTTTATAAGCTGGACTCCCATATTCCAGTTAGAACTGGCAAAGCTCCTCGGATGAGAAGTTAAACATCTTCAAAAAAACCAAAGAAGTCCAGTTGCCTTCATGTGAACCCTTAGGATCACCATGACGTGGATGACTGAGAACCTTCAACAGCTATTTTGTATTCTTAAAACTCTTCCTGACAAAAACATTCCGAGTTCTTGGAGCGTTTCAAATCCAGGCTGATGATAAAAGGATGAGAAGTTTCACAAGAAAAATATGTGCTCTCCCGCTCTGAGGCAACCGTATCCTCCGAGGCCTATCACGGAAACATAAACAGGGGGGGGGGGGGGGGGGGGGGCTCCAGCTGCTGCGGTGGGAAATCCGGGGGCGTTGCTTAGCAACATTTGGCCGGCGTCAAATCCAGCTTCAGGACAGATCTGAGCTCAGTGAGCTGAGTTTCTACCGAAAGCCGACCCAGACCCGGGAATCAGAGATCTGGGTTCCTGGGTTTGTCTGATACCAGCGATCAGATGATCTGCATGCTTTCACAACAGAAGCAGAACCAACAGAGCACTGATTTGTATTTATGATGAGTTTGGTCAGGAACCTGCTAGCATGAGTTAGCATGTAGCGATGCTGAGTTCACAAACCAGTAAAATGGGTGGGAATTTAAAATGCCAACTGGGGACGAGGTGTTCCTGGACAGGAATAAAAAAGTCAAACATACGTTTGTTTAAAAGTTAGAGACACATCAGAAACCTTTAAATCATAAAAAAATCCCTTCTGGAATCGGTCCTCAGCAGCAGAACTGGTGCTCCTAACAGCGAGCGGCGTAAACGTGATTCCTGCCATTATTAACAACCGGAGGAGTGCTACGGGGTGGTTCCGTTTCGTGTGTAGGCTCCGGCACAACAAAACATCTGGATGTGAGCTCTAACCCCACAATAGCTCCGTTCTTCACATAACTCCACATCTGTAGACCTTTGGTAAATGACTCAAACCTTAATAACAGTGTTGACCAAACCGGGCCTGGTACCGGTACCGGTTCTCACCTGCAGAACGGGGCTGTGGTCGAAGTTGTAGGCGCTTGGCCGCCCCTCCAGCGTGGAGAAGGCCACGCTTCCTCCGGTGAGCGGCGAGATGTCGCTGAAGTCATCCGTGCAGAGCGCCTGCTGCTCGTCGTCTCCGGTCCGCATGAACCCGCGGTTCGGTTTCTGGTAGGTCTTTTCACAGGAACCACTGTAGTACTGGTACGGGACCCACGGACCACCCTCTCTGGTCCGCTTGTAGATGGCAAAGCTCTCGGGTCGGCTGGTGTGGAACTTTAACCTCACATAGGTGATGTCAAAGGATTTACCTGCAGACAGAAGGTTCAGAGGGTTAGCTCAGGCCAGAACCAGAACCAGATCCAGGATCCAGCCTTGATCTAAACTTTATGAGGGTCTAAAGATGTTGTTCTCTGACTTTGTCTGATTTTTGACCCGGTTTTAGATGCAGAACTTGTCATAGAACCACAGAACCCCCTATTTCTAGTCCGGTTCTTCTCTGGTGGTTCTGACAAATCTGACTGATCAGGCAGAACCAAACTGGGTTTGGATCAGAACCTCTTCACCTGATTGTCTCTGCAGTTAATTTGGTTCTGGGTGAACTGGATCTGGCCTGATGGTTGATGGAACGCCGTCAGAACACAACTGGTCCATTTCCACAGAGGGAGTCAGAGCAGCGCGCACACACACACACACACACACACGGACGCGCGCACACTCACACACTACTGGTACCCCTGGACCAGCAGCCTCTTAGATAAAGGAGCAGCTCCTTAAACTGAAGCATCATGGAGGTTCTAGAGGAGTTCTGTGGGAGGGGAGGAGAACCTGGGAGTGTTTACTGGATCAGACCGAATCATTAGGTTCTGTCAGCACCTTCAAATCAGACGCTGGCCCGTCCCGGGTCAGCTCTCCCGAGGACAGACAATCAGTGATCAAACAGGAAGTCCTTAGACTGAGAGGAAGTCCTCACACGGTCAAAGGTCAGGAGAACAAAGAGTTCTATTTAATTCTGACAGAGAACATCTGGACCTGAAGCTTCACTTAACGTCTCCATGGAGACGGACCAAAGTCCAGACAGGAGGACTGTAATGAGGAGGTGTCAGAGAAGAGCCGGTGGGGAGGCTGACATCTCCTCAAATAAATAAAAACAGCTCAGCGTCCTCCTTAAGGGACAGATGCCTCCATCAGGACAGTGAGAGGACAGCTGGAGGACAAAGAACACAACGGGATGAAGACAGGAGGAAACGGGCTGATCCCACAGCTGGCTTAAGCAGGAGAAGGAAGTGAAGCAGCCATCTAGCTCCTCCTCCTCCTCCTGAACAACCAGGATCCTGATCTCAGGAGTTGTTTTTGAGTGAGGAGAACAAAGACCAGCCTGTGAAGCTTCCTGCTCTTCAGCAGATGAAAGCCTGGAGGAAACACTCTGAGGTTCTATGAAATATAAATCTTTTTAAGGTCCCACCAAAATAAAAGCTCAAATAAGACTTTTATTTTGACTTTCAAAGCTACATGTGTTTGGTGTTCTGACTTCCTTTTGGAGAAATGGAACAATCTCCTGGACATAGTGCAATGTTCTTACTGTCCTCTGTTGCTCTTCTGACCCACCAGCAGAACTTGGACTCATTACCCATGAGTGCTTTTGGCCACACCCACCAAGGGGAGTCTGTAGCCTGTTGGGTAATTTCCCAATAATGCTTTGCGGTTGTTTTCCATCATAAATTAGGCAGATTCAGATGTTCTGGGTTAAACTGTCTGCTTTTAACAAGAACTCAAAAATTCCTGAGATTCTGTTCAAACTTCTCCCCGTTACCTCCAGATGTCCCACCACACGGGACCTCCAGAGGTCCCTCTAGATGTCCCACCAGACCATCAGAGGTCCCTCTAGATGTCCCACCACACGAGACCTCCAGATGTGACTAGGATCAGTTATGGAGGACACAGCCTTCCCTCAGAACATGGAACTCAAGTGTTCCAGACTGAGTCTGGACTTTATTCTCAAACATTAAATAATTTTTTTGTTTCCCATCAGAAAAGAAGCAGATTAAAATAATGACCCCACAAACGTTTGGTTTTCCCGAACCGCCGGCGTTCTGTCCCAGCTGATGTTCTCCTTTCTAAACAGGAAGTGGTTCTTTAATAAAGAGCGGATTACAACCCAGAGACCGGCTGCTGCGGAGATGCTCCAGAGCCAAACGACATGGTTAATTAGCTGGTTGGGATAAGCTGAGCTGACCTGCATCATTGTTGAGCACCGACCCTTCAGGGGCCTCCTCAGGGGTCTGGATTCAAGCCGGAACATGAAAGACCTGCAGTAGACAGCCTTTCATTCTCAGGCTTTAGGGAGGACTGGGGGGGGCTGGAGTGACACGGTGATGGAATGTGTTTCCGGCAGGAATACTGAAGCTGGACAGCTGTAGGAAGGGGCATTCCTTCTGTCCAGATAAGGAGGACATGGGGACAAACAGAGGATCAGAGACGTCCAAAAACTGATCAGGATGAATGGCGCTGAAGTCCAGGAAACACCCAGACAGGCTGTGGCAGATGCCAGATTATATAATCTAACACGGAGAAGTCGGAGCAGCTACAGTCTGATCGTAATCTCGGATTTAGAGTAGAGTAGACTTTACTGATCCCACAGTGTGAGATTCACTTGTTAAAACACTGCGCACACACCACACATAAACAGCACAGGTACATGTACACACATGTAGGTGAGCATCGGAGCCGTGGAACGCTGGAAACCACAAAGAAAAAGAAGCAGTTGGGTTCTAGAACTATGCAACAAACTGTAAGGAGCACGGACAGCACATGTAATTCTGGTATTGAACAGAAATGTCTGAGTGCAGCCTCTCAGTTGTCATTCTGTCCGGTTACCATGGCAACGCCTGTGTGATGGGGAGCAGAGGAGGTTCTGGTGGATTTGCGCGGTTTATCTGTCGCTCCACAAAGATCCCAAATCCCAGCACAGCTCCATGGATCTACTGTCAGCGCGCTCACGGAGACACGTTTCCTCCAGAGCAGCTCTGACAGATCCTTCATAATAATATAGAAATGATCTTTTATCCAACGCGTCTGACGCAGAATCACGAGGACACAAATATTATATCATTACATTAAATTATATTAATTAATAAACCATTAAGAACAGAAAAGCGGGAACAGAAACAATCGTGATTACAAAAACACGACATCCGTTCTACAAAGTCAGGATCCCGTCGGGTGTGTCAGCACCAGTCTCATGACTCGGCGCCAGTCATGTGACTCAGATGTTCTACAGAAATATTTATTTAATACTAAAATAATGAGTGGATGAGTGAGACCTTCGGTGGTGCGGTTCCCTGTTCTACCACTAGATGTTCCTACACATGGTCTGAAGTTTTCTGATGTTTAGGAACATTTCCACTCACAGGTACAACATGATGAAGACCACACACTCCTACACACACATCTGATACACGAGGGCCTGGAGTCTTCCGCGTGGACAATCCAGTTCTCATGGGTTCAGACAAAGACCCTCAGATGGGCGCAGATGTTCTCCATCCTACTCAAAGTATGAATGTCCTTCAGGGGGACACATGGAGACGGGGGAGGACAGTCTCAGGGAGATTATCAGCTCTGGTTTCCTTCTGAAAATCTGACTCAGGACAATTCCAAATAAAGTTTATTCAAAGTTTCATTTTCTGAATCCAGGAATGAGCCAGCAGACATGTCCTCCAGGACTTGTCTCTCTTCAGGCTTGATTCCTCGGGGGGGGGGGGGGGGGGTCTTAACAGAGCGGTCCAATTAGACTTCGTCCCATGACCTCATCACATTCTTCTGCTGCAGAACGAACAATGGCTGCTTTGACTTTCAGACGTGTGGGCCTGAGCGAGCCTCGGCCTGCTGCACAGTAATCTGATTACCCAGTCTGCTGCTAGGCTGCAGCTACACGAACCACAGGTAGAAAGTAATCTGATTACTGGGCTCATAGTTCATCTGACCGACTCGGACAGAGGGAGGGATTCTGACTCGAGACAGGCAGGTCACACCCCAGAGGAGTTACAGATTAACGAGTTGCATGAACAGAACCAGTGAGGCGTGTTTGTTTCCACATTACAACACGTCTCTTATCTGGTCACGTGCTGGAAGGTGACAGGTAGGCCTCACCTGGATCCTGCTTCTACAGACTGATCCTGAATCAGCGTCAGAACAACAAGATCCAAAATAATCACAAAGTTCAAACCCAGAAACCCACATGAGCTAAAGCCAGTTTAGATTCTATTCAGTTTAATGAAATGAAGTGTGTGTTCCACCTCTGAACTGGACCGACGAATCGAAAATCAACAGGAAAGATTAAAGCTGCACCGATAATGACTAATAAATATTATCTGTGCGCACACGCACGCACACACACACACACACACTCCTGTCTTTTTATCATAGTGAGGACCTCCATTGACTTCCATTCATGTTTGTGACGCCACCGTGCCTAACCCATACCCCAACCCAATCATAACCAATGCCCATCTATTACTAACCCTAACCTTAACTAAAACTTAACTCACACCAGACCTCTAACTGGTAGTAAGCTTCTAAAAATGTGAGGACCAAAAAATGCCCTCACTTTGTAGGGAAGATGTTCAAAATGGTCCTCGGTATGTAGTATGTACAAGAACACACACACACACACTTGCATACACACACTCACACAGACACACACTCGCACGCACACTCACACAGACACACACTCGCACACACACACACTTACACTCACACACAGACACACACACACACACACTTACACTCACACACACACTCACATTCTCACACACACTGAAGGTGAAACAGCTGAGACCACCAACGAAGGTTCTGCTCTTCCTGGAGGTGTTGCAACACCGGGGCGTCAGGAACAAGCCCCCCCATAAACACACACACACACACACACACACACACACACACACACACACACACACACTCCCAACAGCTGCAGGAGTAGAAACTGGGGGCCATGTTTACGGGGTGGGGTCTGCAGCTTGAACAGTTTACCAGGACAACAGAGCCCGACTCGAGCCCATCCTGACGTTTTGGATTTTACAGAACCAATAGGTTTTATTTGAAGTTTCGTTCTTCAGCCGACGACAGAGGAGCTCAATACACACACACACGTGTCCAAAGCTGCTCCTGTTTCTGTCCGATCCGGTTACCAAGGTAACGTTCCCTCCACCAGAAAAGAAATACTCCGTGTAGTCAGGTCAAAGGTCAGCACCAAGGAGCAGCCACTTCCCAACATAACCAGAATCCAATCAGAACTCTGCTGATCTCCATGGGATCAAAAAACAGAACCTATTAAAGGTTCTGCCTGAAGAACAAGAAGAAAGCTGGAGTCGGTCCTGATCCAGAACCTTTTAGAACCCTGTAATGTAAACAGTACTTTTGGAGACCACCATTAACTTTGTTTTGGGTCCAGTTAGAGCTCTGGAGGATAAAACCATAATCCTGGTTCTCTGGTTCTGATTGGATCTCTGACAACAGCTATGTGGTTTCTCTGGTTCTCCTGAAGGTTCTGGTCCTGTAGACTGATCTGATCTGAGGGGTAGGAGATAAGCCCAGAACTTAGAAGGGTTCACTAAGGATGTTTGGGTTTCACACATCAGGATCCGGATCAGTCTGGAACACCTTCAGATGCATTCAGGGACAGGCTGATAAAATCAGACGCTACAGAACCAAACTGGGACCCGTAGCAGAGATAAGCTCAGTGGTTCTGGAGGTTCTGATGTCGCTGCAGACGCTGAAACCTTTCATGTTTTGTCTCGTCAGCTTTGCTTCATTCCTGCGTTTTGGGCCTGCAGCACATTCCAGAGAGCGTTGGGATGAGGCTCATTTGGAGTGGTTCACACAGACGGTCCCGGTTCGGACCAGAACCAGAACAAACTCGTGAGAAGATCTGATTCTGAGCAGGAACCCCAATAAAACCTGACAGGACCAGATTAACAGGCCAATCAGGAAACAGGTGTCCAGGATTCAAAGCTAAATGTTTGAGCGGGAATCAAACCAGCAACCCGGAACATAACCACATCTTTTCACAATAAAAGCACAAAAAAATGCACATGCCCAACATAAGCAAATATGAGCTTTAGCAACATTTCTATGATGTCATCAGGAACATGTGACCCATTCCAGACGGAATGCTAGGAGCTTCAGCAAAACCTGATCTTTAGGAATAATCCGGATAATATCAGTGTTCAATCCCTAAGCAACCTTTCTGAGAAATGTAAGAAAATACAACCGAAAACATTTTCACCTGACGCCTCTGATCTCACTGAAGCCTGACTTAATCCATCAGAACTCAGATTTTAATCCAGGTTTGGGCTGATGGCACCAGCTTAAGTGTGAGGCTGGAAATACAGATAAATCCAGGAAAATGGGCTGTAATTACCACTTCCCGTCACTTTATCGCCTCCTGATGAAGGTTTGATCCAGATGTTAAATAACAGGCTTTGCTGGCCTGACCCGCAGAGCTCCAACCAGACAAGCCCCGACGAGCTCCGACCAGAAGATCACTTTTATTCTAAAGTGGACGTCATCCATCTGAAGCCACTCAGATTGTTGGAAGTATTGGAATTTACGACCGTCTTTGAACTACACATGTTTATAAACTCATCTGATTTTATTCTTTTATTCTTGTTATTAAAACTATCAGATCATTAGATGTCGGTCATTTCTCAGACCGTCAACATGCCTGCTGCTGTTTGACGTGTGTGTCACCGAGTCGACCCTGAACGCACCACGAGCCTTTTCATTAAGAGAAGAATTCAGTCTGAGCTTCAAAGTGATGAAAGAACAGTTTAACCGTGTGTGTGTGTGTGTGTGTGTGTGTGTGTGTGTGTGTGTGCCAGCCCACCTCACACACGCACGCACGCACACACACACACACACACGATAACAATAGCCTCTCCTTTCTCACACAGCAGTGATCAGGCTCCTTGTGTCACGTCTAAAATGGTCCAGGAGGAACAAACGGACAATAGGCCACAGAATAACAGTGAGCAGGGATGGGCCGGTACCAGTACCTGGTCACGGTTCTTCAACCTGTTGAATCGGATCAGAGACGAAGTAATAATGTGTGTGTGTGTGTGGGGGGGGGGGGTCAGAAGAAGTATGTGTGAAGTCTCCGATCAGCTGTTATCATGGAACCAACAAACCTGATGACATCATTGGCTTGGCTAAGACCCAATCAGGAAGCACATTCGTTGTTTGGATTTAACCATCAGAACCGGTTGGAACCGAACCAAGCCCAACAGAGACTGGGTCAGAGAGGAACTTCCTTAAAGAGATCAGGTCAGAGACCAGAACCGGGTCACTCTGACCTTCAGCTCCAGATGGAAGCTTCAAGGTTGTGGAGATAAGAGCGGGGCCCTGAATGCCTCGTGATCCACATCACAGGCTGACCAGAACCGGGCCGGGCTCGTCTCCACAAACTTTGAATCTCTGATCTGTACATTCTTAAAAACATCTTCCATAAAGTCATGATTACGGATCAAACAGGTTTTTGTTTTTCCATATGGAGCCGTTTCACCCACCGAAGCCCACGTGGAAACTTCCAGACCGTCGGAGATCATTTGGATCAGAACCTGAAAGTCTTTGAAGTCAGAACATCAGAAGCTTCAGACGGATAGAAGGAAAACAGCTGATTTCCTTAAAGAGCCTGTGTGTGTGTGTGTGTGTGTGTGTGTGTGTGTGTGTGTGTGTGTGTGTGTGTGTGTGTGTGTGTGTGTGTGTGTGTGTGTGTGTGTGAGTGAGTGAGGGGGGTGGACGTGTGTGTGTGTGTGGGGGGGGGGACGTGTGTGTGAGTGAGTTTGTGTGTGTGTGTGTGTGTGTGTGTGTGTGTGTGTGTGTGTGTGTGTGTGTGTGTGTGTGTGTGTGTGTGTGTGTGTGTGTGTGTGTGTGTGTGTGTGTGTGCGTGCGTGCGTGCGTGCGTGCGTGCGTGCGTGCGTGTGTGTGTGTGTGTGTGTGTGTGTGTGTGTGTGCGTGCGTGCGTGTGTGTGTGTGTGTGAGGGGGTGGACGTGTGTGTGAGTGACTGAGTGTGTGTGGGGGGGGTTGTGGATGTGTGTGTGTGGGGGGATCCCAGCCCCCTACAGCTGTGCTGATCCTGTAATCTCTCCTCCCGGTTTCCCACACTGCCCCCCCCCCCCCCCCCCCCCCATAACAACATACTGCTGGTTCTGATGAACTTGGGTCAGTTCAGTCAGCTGCTCTGACACAAAGATGAGATATATTGATTCGGTATGATTCAGACTCGGTTTAGGCCCATCAGAACCACACAGGGTAACCTGGGTCCAAACTGAAGCAGACCGGTTCGGTTGAAGCAGGTTTCTGAATAAATATCAGCACAGCTTCCGGGTTCTCCAGGGGTCGGGTACCACAGAACTTCCAGGTTCTCCAGGGGTTGGGGTCGGTTGAGTCCAGATCAGCTGCAGGAGGACAATGATGATGTTTGTTCTCCTGCCTCCTGAGTCAAGGACACCGTGTCCTTTCCCTCATCAGAGGGGCATCTGGAGGGTTAGGAGGACCTGAATGAAGCACACAACTGATCTGGACCAGAACCACTGATCTGGGCCAGATCAGTGGTTCTGGTCCAGATCAGTTCTGTAAACTTGTCTGTTCTGATAGTGTTTCCTGCTCCCCCGATCCATCAGCAGGTTCTCCTCTCTGCGGGTCTTTCATGTCGCCACGGGACTCATCGAGTTGGGACACGTTGTCTTCCTGCCCAGCTTCAAAGAGTCCAAACACACAAACCCAGCCCTGACACCGGTGTCTGAGTGGAGAATGTTCAGGAGTCCAGAACCCATCTGGACCAGAACCGTGTCTAGGATCACTTCACAATTACCCCTGGACCCCCCCCCCCCCCCCCCCACACACACACACACACACACACACACAAACACCACTAACAGGAGGAGCCACCAAGGCCTCTGGCTGCTGGAAATAGAGAGGATATTTTTAAAGATGCCTGAAGGAACTCCACCACTTCCTGTGTGAACAGGAAGTGGTGGAGTTCTAATAGTTCTCCTGGAGTTGATACTTTAACTATATTTTTAATTATTTTAAAATCAAACCAAAGCCAGTTCTGGGCTGTTAAGAGTCCAACACTCAGAACAGCCCACCAGAACGATGTAGTTCCACCAGAACCACCGGTCCAGGTGACGCGTTCAGAGGCAGCTGGGACAACAGAACCTTACAGGTTCGGTTGTTTATAAGGAAACCAGACCTGGGCTGACCCCCAGCAGAACCGCAGCTGGACCTCCACACATAAACCCGGTCCAATCTGCGGATGTGGTCCAGGTTCGCGTGTGTGCGTTGAGTGCTCCCCGGACCGGGGCGGGTCTTACCGAGGTGCAGGGTCAGGTTGATGGAGTTCGGGTACTGGATCCCGGCCAGCATGGTCTGGCTCTGCCACCAGGTGGTGTCCTGCTGGTTGTTGTAGTCCGTCAGGTACGCGGCGTTGTGGTGGTTCCGGGGGTCGCGCGCGTCGCAGATGTGGCAGGACTTGGTAACGCCGGTGGCGCCGGTCTGGACGCAGTACTCCTCCGGCGGAGAGCCGCAGGTGTTGGTGGCCTGCACGGTGGCGTTGAAGGCTGCGTTCATGAACTCCGGCATGCAGCGCTGCAGCTGGCCCAGTTCGTCCACACAGCCGTCCATCATGGCCCGGACGGCCCAGCTCCAGGCCACCAGAACCAGGATCACACTCCGCATTCTGTCGCTCCGCTCCGTCCCCCTTTACGGCTACGAAACTCCGCCAAACTTCTCCAAAGTTTTCCCAAACAAAGTCCCGATTCCGGTACCGGAACCGCGGGGCTGTGCTGGTCCGGGCCGCGTCCCGGCTGGTGCTGCTGCTGTGGGTCGCTCTCAGTTCGGTTCAGCCTCAGCTCTTTGTGTCGGCCGCCATGCAACAAGTCCAGCAGGAAGAGACGGGGGTCCGGACTAGACTACACCCAGTCCGCTACTGCGCAGCTCCGAGGCGCACGGGAGGTCCGCAGGCGCGAATCAGCGCAAAGCTGCAAACGGCGCAAATAAACCAGCGCAAACAGCCGCAGCCAGAAGCGCTCAGATGTGTACACCTTCAGGGTAAGGGTTCTCTCCCGACCCAGAAAAGTTGTTATTCAGGATTTCCTTCATTTAAAAAGATCCAGAAGAAAACGTTATGAGCTGAACTTGATAAACTTCAGCTTCAATCCGGTTTTATTGAATCAGATCGTTTCTGTATCAGGGATGGAGGGCGGCGTCCCCTGGTGGCCACGGGGGGTTAACGGGTTCTGACCGTTCCAGAGGAGAGCAGAACCCCAAAACGCAAGGATTCCTGGTTTTGTTGGTCTCAAACCCGAGTCTCTTCATCAGCTGCTGTCCTCCTCATTAGGACACCTTCAACAGGACCGAGACACAGTGGCACCCCAAGGAGTGGTGAATCATTAATGTTCACACAAACTATCAATTATTTAATCAAACATAAAGTAAAACCCAACAAAAACACAATTAAAGAGTAAATATAGTTACCGGCATGTTTCTCCTGAAACCACACAGACCACTTCGGTGTGCCACCCCCAAATGTCTCTGGCCCTATCTGGCCACCCAGAAAATAATCTGCCCGGACTAAGTAGCCCAACAGAAAGGATGAATCCAGATTAAACCAGAACAGTCATGGATCTCTGGTGTCTCGGATACCGTCAGACCTCTCTTACACTGCTCCAGACTCGCTGTGGTCCAACCTTCCCCAGAACAAGTCACCCAAATGTCCTCCTGTCTCCCCTTCACCTGCATTTTGACTCCTGAGCAGCTGACTTAGGGCTAGATGACGTCATGGAGACAACTGAGTCTGACTGATTCCTGCACTTTACACCAATAGAAGCGTTTAAACAAGCTAAACAAACAAACCCATGGAGCTGATGAGAAACCAGCTGATAAACACAACACTTGTTAATGTTTCCATTTTTCATGAGCTGAACTCAAACATCTGATAATTTGTCTACATGCACAAAGCACCGATGACTCTCAATTATTGTTCTGAAATCTGTGTGTTAGTGAGCACTTTTCCTCCATGCATCCATCCATCCATGCATCCATCCATCCATTTTCTTCCGCTTATCCGGAGTCGGGTCATGAGGCAGCAGCCTAAGCAGAGAGACCCAGACTTCCCTCCCCCCAGCCACTTGGGCCAGCTCTTCCGGGGGAATCCCAAGGTGTTCCCTGGCCAGGTGAGAGACATAGTCTCTCCAGCGTGTCCTGGGTCTTCCTTTAGGTCTCCTCCCGGTTGGACGTGCCCAGAAAACCTCACCAGGGAGACATCCAAGAGGCATCCTGACCAGATGCCCACGCCACCTCAACTGGCTCCTCTCGATGTGGAGGAGCAGCAGGTCTACTCCGAGCCCCTCCTGGATGACCGAACTTCTCACCCTATCTCTAAGGGACAGCCCAGCCACCCTGCAGAGAAAACTCATTTCAGCTGCTTGTATCCGTGATCTTGTTCTTTCGGTCACTACCCAAAGCTCGTGACCATAGGTGAGGGTAGGAACATAGATCGACTGGTAAATCAAGAGCTTTACCTTCTGGCTTGTCTGGAGACAACCCAGGGTCCAGACCAGGAAGCAGAGTCATAGTTTAACACACCCCTCTGCAGCTTCTGTACTGTTACCCACCCACTACCCCATAGAGACTGTGTCCTGCCCATGGCCAAAATCACACAGATTAAATATCAGGCTTAATAAAGCAAATCATGGAAATCTCATAAATATTAGAGCAAATTCAACTGAGCAGAAAAATTAGAAAAATTAAATGTGGGTTATTGAACATTAGATCTATTTTTTCTAAGACTTTGTTAGTTAATGAGTGATAATCAGATCTCTTTGCTCTCTCACAGAATCCTGGCTGCAGCAAGAGGACTATGTTAGCTTAAACGAGTCGACTCCTTTTAATTATTTAAATCATCATATTGCTCGAGGT